GACACACACCTTGAAAACTGGTAGTGTGGTCTGATCTACCGGTGAATTCAGGATCATTCGGTGCCGAGTCTGGTAGTTGGGTAGGCCTGGTGTTATCAGTGGATATATATTACAATTTTTTAAACAGTATTGAAGTTTTTTTTAACGTTCTTATAATTCATTTATAATGCACATTCTAAGTAGAAATTTGACAGTGATATTATTTATTTACAATAAAATGTTATAATACTGTGCATGCACAAAATATGTTTTAGCATCTATTATTCGATGTTATACAAAGTAGTAAAATTAGCAAAATGTAAGAATGTGATATTAGCATTTCATACTGTTCAATTGCAGTTTTAATGACCAATTATTTACAGAGAAGACACTAAGTTCGTACCCTCTACCAGGGCCACAAATTGATTTTTCACTACAAACTCACAGATATACCCCTGGTTAATTAACGAGACATTTCTGGTGTTGGAGAAAAGTGCACATAATTAATCTGCAGCCCTGGTAACCAGTACTCAGATCACGAGAAATCAATTCTCAATGTTCTTTTATCACACTAGCTTACATGTGAAAAGTTTATTTATTTTGTGTGCGTGTCTTCCAGAAATCTGTACATGTTTATTAATTGTTGATATGCAGATAACTTGGAACACCATAAGCTGCAAGCTGCTTTATTTTGTACGTTTTATTTGAAATTTACCATGAAGTAGGATTAGGTAATTTTTAAGGTGGATATTAAACAAGCACTCATGCCATGTTATTGCCACTGAATCCGATCAAATGCCACCATGTACCTTCAAGAAGGAGAACTTAAAGAGATAACTCTTTACATGAGATACAAATTTCCACAATCAACACATTGTGAACAACACAAAGTAATAAAATAAATTTCATTTTACCACCAAAACGGCAGTTATTGCAATTATTCTGAAATCTTTTCTTGTCACGTGGATCTTAACGGATGGCCAACCTCCGTTATAATCTGGTAAGAGATTGTTATTAAAACACACTAAAAATCGACTAACGAAACGGATTCGTTCACCATTGAAAAGAATGGGAAAATGGTCGTTTTATTTCAAAAGGCATTGCCCAATTTCTCTGGTGTCAAGTTATATTAAATAATTGCATAGTAAGTGCAATACTAGCATACACTACCTCAGTCGTGTTGTTTTTGTGTCACTCTCAACAACGTTTTCAACATATATAAAATATGACAGGATTTATATAGTAAACATATAAAATATAAAGATATCATTTTTAAATTGTTAAACTTCAACTGTTAAGGTGTTTTGAAAAGAAAAATACAATAATAAATTATATACTGCAATTTATTTCTCTCTTATCTCTTTTTAAATTGGAAATGTCTCATCATCATGTATCCATATCTTCCTCTTGTTTGAGTTTATTCTGTAAATGTTCTAACATAGTGTCTCCTGGTTTCTCCATGTAGGCTGGGTGCCGTAAAACCTGCTTGAACAAATTCATGTCTTCCTGCATTTGCCTACGCCTTGTCTTTTCTTTCTGAATTCCTTTGTTTTTCTTGCATGTTATAGATGACCTGAGAAAATAATGATAAAAACTTCAATACCTTGCATGGATTAAAAAAGAAACGCTTACATTTTTGGTCACGAAAAGACAATGTTTGAACAAATAAACTTCCTCATATTTTCATTTCTCTTAGGGTGCTTTCCCAGAGATTTAGATCGATCTAGAGATTAAGATTTAGATTGACCTAACTCCCTGGGGGTTCATGCTAAATTGCAGTCAGCCAAGCGGGCACCAAAGTTAATTACCCCCGTACAGCTTTTAGTAGGCGGGACAGACGCTTAAGCCGGCCAAGCTGACAGTAATCTAGTGAGACTCCCCACAGGGATAGATCGATCTAAAAATCCATGGAAATGGGGTGTTACAGTTTAATAAAAATATGGTCTCAATTATTCTTCAACCAATGCCATTAGTGTCTCACCACCAATACGAAACTTTCAAAGAACAAATGTAGTCCAATCATGGAAAAGCAAAAACATTTTTAAAAACCATGGGCTTTCTTTTTCACAATGCTTTTGGTACATCACGAAATGGTTAATAATAAGCTTCCCTCTTCTAAAAGTTACCTTTTATTTTGTTCAGCCTTGGGTGCTTGATCCCCCTTTAGCAGTAGTTCTAGGGTTGGGAGAGTCTCTTCAAGTTGCATCATGTCCCCTACAATGGGATTTCGTTCTCTCTTCTTCTTTTCTTTCATCTTTTTCTTGGCACTTTGGATGGCATCAACCTCTGTAAAATAAGAAACCTGGTGTGTACCCACAAGTTGGACATTGAACAGGTAAACCAACATTTCCAGAAAAATAATCTGAGGAAACCCAAAATTCAACTTTCACCACAAAAAGAGGGGAATTCTAGGACAATGGGTTACACCTGTACCAGAGAAAGCAGATTAGGAGTAAAGAAATTACTTTAAACAATGAACCCAACCATATTTAATACAACTTGTTAATTTATCAATTTTTCTGATTAAAAACAGATTGTTATTAACCATACAACCATTGAGGCTATACCATACTCAATAACCAATGCTGATTCATAAATAATCACATCAGTTATTAAAGCATTCATTCCAACACCATACAACATCATTAACCTTCATCAATGATATAATTCTCTTGATTCACTGGCATAAATCACATACTTTGCAGCCATATTTCATGTCTCAACTTCTTTTTATCCTTTTTCTTCAACTGAAGTCCCTTCAGTGATTTGGTTGTTATTGCACTCCTGGTATCAAAGTCATCTGGAAGTTGCTGCTTCAAGACACCATCTGGAATCTGAATCCCACTAAACAGTCCCTCTGAAGGAAATACTGGTGAAAAGGGCTGGAACAAAAATATTTTAATAAATACAACAAAAAAAATCACATACACTGATCAATATAATGGACCATTACAGATATTTTATTGTAAAATGAAAATGTTATTACAATATCAGCAATCTACATATTTTGTCATTAAACCAGTCTGTGTCCAAAAACTTTTTAGTCTACTAGCCCTGCAGGGTACCTGGGACTAAGAATCTGCAAAAGTAAAACCACAAAAAGTGGCCAGTATTACTTACCATATTTACAAAATGGCAGTTGGCACGGCACAGAATCAGCATTAACCATGTACAAACTGTTAGTATGATGTTTAAGTTTGGGCCTGAGGGTATGGAAGCCTTACCTCGTTCTGATCCCTCTCTTCTGTTGATACTTTGTCAGTGGCAGTATCCTTTGATTTTACAGCAGCATTGTGGAATTTTTGCCGGAGTCTTTTCACCTTACCCATAGTGTCAGTCCTACAAATAAGAGCACAGTTAACCTGGAAAATTTATTACAAACCATGAGACTGTAGCACTACTAGAAGAAGTACATAAAACAGGCAAGTGTTTGAGTCAACCATCCTCTTTTTGATTATTTACATTTAACATTGGTACAATTCTTATTTCTCTCCCCCCTTTTTGAATTTAGTTTAACGTTTTAAGTTAAGTTTAAAGCTAGTGAAAAAGGTCCACAGCTGACTATGGCAGCAGCAGGGTTAATCACAGAAACTCTGCCATCACCAATCTACAAAAGCACCTTGATGATGCAGTCAAGCAGACAGAATTCCTCAATACAATCTTTAAGTCAGCAAGCTGCATGCAATGTCAGGCAAATATCCCCAATACCAAGCAATACCAGCAATCCGTGCACAAAATGCAGTGGAACTGCATGTTTCTTGTAGTGCAGGGGCTCTGGGCCTCCCAAAATTTCCCTCATGTCTTGTTTGTAAAGTACATGTACCCAGCAAACACATAGCATTTTGAAAACATTTTCGGAATTCACTTCCGAACATATACTACACGCCACTTCACTTTGCATCACTTGGGAGCCTTCGGCCTAATTGGGCATCAAACCCTGGTAATTAATGCCTTCGGCTTGTACGAATCGCTCTTTCCACATCGGTGTAACATGAATGGAAGTCCCATTACTTTGTACAGGTGACACTCGTCCCATATACTAACCCCAATACACTAACTAACCCTAACCTGTACTAATCATATGGGAGCCCGCACTTCCATTCCTAGGACTCCCATTCCTGTTAATACACTGGCATAAAATATCCAAATAAATATATGTGACGTATTACACTAAACTTATTTATGATAGCAGAATAAACCGGAATAGCAACGAAGCAAAACACATACCTTTTGTCATTAATACCAAAACCACGTTTATGATATGCACACGAACCAGTGCACATGAACAATCTTAGCACTGTAACTTGCAAGCACGTGTCAAAACATCGACATCTTGTTATTGCCTCGTTCTCGCCTCAGCACAACCGACGCATTTACATTTTGTCACATCTGGTGCAATAACAAGCTTGATGCAAAGGGGCCGCTGTCTCCCGTGTTCAAATTTCTCTTTTATGGCGTAACGTCATGAAAGAAACTAGTAATTCTAAAAAATAAAAAAGAAACAAAGTAAATTGCACAGATACCACCCCAATTATTTGAAACCAACGTCGCTCTGCCTGTAGTCATCCTGAAGTCATCTCTGTAAGAACTTCACCAAGAGCGTCTTCCCATACTTCTACGGTACAGTATATATTTTGCTTCATTTATTTTCATTAGAGTTCATGGGCGTAACTAGGCATACGCACGGATGCACTGTGCGTACAATTTTTTGGCCAACCATGATATTATTTTATATAAATTAAGTGTATTTTTCACGGAATATAAAAGAAAATCCTCTGCTTATTAAAGTCACCTGTATGCACAAATCCTCTGTATCAATTATATAGGCACAATTGTTCTGACCCCCCCCCGCCCCCCCCCCCCGTCTTGCATACTTTTATTGAACTGAGGTAAACAATGACTGTAACCTTTACAAGTCCTATCTTAACCGTCCATCTAACTAGAACATCCTTTACCATTTTATTGGAGGGTTAAGTGGCCTTCAACTCTCCTGTAGTCTTGAGAGTATCGAACGCACTCTCGCTGGCGATATTTATCTCAGGTAAAATCTACCTGTGCGTTATTTTCAAAGAGCAGCTCACGTAGACCTGGGGGCACAAGATAAAATCAAAGGAAGAATTTTTATTGCAAAGCTTCAAAGCATTTCACACGGACTTGATCCAGTTTAGCCCTCCAAACTATCAGGGTGACATGGGTAATTTTCACAAACAAATAATTAAACTTAGATATATCAAAGCTCTGTCGTGTCATAAAGTTGGTTGTTTTTGGGAGCAATGCACCCGCATGGAAGCTGGATGAAACTGTATATAACACCCCATTTCCATAGATTAGATCGACCTACTTAAGATCGACCTAACTCCCTGGGGGTTCACGCTAAATAGCTGTCAGCCGGGCGGACACGAAAGTTAATTACCCCCTTACAGCTTGTAGTAGGCGGCACGGACATTTAAGTGGGATTATCTGAAAGTAATCTAGTGAGACTCCCCGTGGGGATAGATCGATCTAAAATCTATGGGAATAGAGCCTAAGTTCAACTCAGAGGCGGAACCAGGATTATTCGAAGGGGGAGGGGAGGGGTCCGCTGATGTGAAGTTAGCCTCCTTTTAAATGAATAAACCGTTCTGGGTAAATAAAAATATTGAAACTTTATTAAATTGCGAAAATATATTTGACTTAAATGATGATTTTATTATTATTGGAAATTAATCTACGATGTGTGGTACATATGCTGTGATTACGCTGCCCTTNTTGGAGGGTTCAGTGGCCCTCAACTCTCCTGTAGCCTCTTTCTTGAGAATATCGAACGCATTCTCGCTGGCGATATTTATCTCAGGTAAAATTCTGCCTGAGTGTTATTTTCAAAGAGCAGCTCCCGCAACCCTGGGGGCACTAGATAAAATCTTGACACCAGGTTTAATAAGGAGCTAGAGAATCAAAGAAAGAATTTTTCCTGCAAAGCTTCAAAGAATTTTGACACGGACTTGACCCAGCTTACCCCTCCAAACTAACAGGGTGACATGGGCAATTTTTACAAACAAATAATTAAACTTAAATGTATCAGAGCTCTGGAGTGTCGTACAATTGGTTGTTTTTGGGAGCCATGCATCCACATGTAAGGTGAATGAAACCGTATGTTAGTTCAACTCAGAGGTGGATCCAGGATTATTCGAAGGGGGGTTCCACATATGCGAAGCTAGCCCCCTTTTAAATAAATATACCGTTCTGGGTAATAAGAATATTGAAACTTTCTTAATTGCGAGAATATTTCTGACTAAATGATGATTTTATTATTAATGGAAATTAAGCTGCGATGTGTGGTACATATGCTGTGAATACGCTGTCCTTCATCTGTTGCGTTAGTCTACATTTTGCTGGGAATTAACAGGGGCGGATTTAGGCCGTCTTCTGGGTCTTCTGGAAGACGGTCAGATTTTTAAGTTTACATTGACGGGTATCTAATATTTTCTGTCGGAAGACGGTCAAAAATTGAGGACGAATTAACAAAGATAAATTGGAAGACTGTCAGAAAATATCTCTGGATCCGCCCCTGTAATTTTAAAAATCTGTGCGTACAATTTTTAAAGGTCTGGTTACGCCCCTGGAGTTTAGGCCCCTTTTTCATCAAATATCTTTTTTTACTGAGCTACAGGTATCTGTTCACAAAATTTATATTTACGTTTGCCTTCTTATTAGGCCTATTTTCGGCATTATTGTATTTTTATTTTTATTAATTTATTTACATACATTAGGCCTATTTACTTTTTTCTAATGATAATATCAAAATATTTGTTGTGCCAATTTTGCTACAAAATACTCACAAATAACCATTAACCACTTGAAAACAAAACAATGAGAGATACATGGAAAGTATATCATTGTTGTTAGCGCTGTTGTTTATGAATGATATACAGCCATAAAGAACACGAATAAGAGAAATTTTGTTCGAAAAACAACGCCTTTTAACACAGTCCCAACGTATGTTCCCCAGAAAATCAGTCTGTTTCGCCTTTGGAACCTTATGCTCTAAAATCCAAAATCCCTTAATACACTAAAAATTCTAAAATTAATCAAAACTCGTTGCTTAACAATTGTTTACGAACATAGAAATAATTTTATTTCATTTATCCAATGTATAGATTTATACGTGTCAGGAATCCTTGTGTTTAATACATGAGAGCTCAATTCTCTTCCTCAATGCAAGGATAGGCACCGTACGCTACTACTCTCCGATGTAGACCACTATTAAGCATTCTACTCAGACAATGATGGGCATTAAATTAGTGATATATTTGCTGACTACTCCTATGACGGGACACCAATGGCACTCGAAATAGCACACATGCATATCTCACATTACAAGTCAATGTTGATTACCCTATACCCGCGACCTTACACGAGGAAATACATATTCTTTTACATTTGCGTCACAATTTTATTTTCCCCTGATTCACCGTGCTCGTACGCGTTTATTGAAGAACAGACGACAACAAGACAAACGTAGGGCATTTGTCACGCAGATAAACTATTTGGGTGAGCATACCTGTACGTTGTTTATACGTATCCATATTAGTTCAGTAAAGGAATGAACACAAACGATGGCAGGTGAGTAGATTTAGGCCTATGTGCAAATCAGAGGACTATAAGATAAGTGCTTTCGAATCATTTGTATTTCTCCATCTGTGGGATTGTAAAAAATACACGTGTTTCATCTAATCCAACAAGTTGAAGTACGAAGTTCTTTGGGAACATGAAATTAATTTGACATGATTGTATTTACGCCTAATATGGAGCTACTGAGACTACATGTATATTTACAAGTCTGAGGCGTACGCGAAGATCGCGTGACAAGTACCATTTACTTAAATATCAAACTCATCAGCATAATTATGGCCCACTGTATTAGTAAACAGGTTAAAAAGACAGATAGGCCTACCCTGAAGGAGCAACGTACACAAGTGAAAAGTAAGCTGGCTGTGAATGGTTTTATAATACTTGTATCACCTTTAAAGCATAATATTAGTTTTTTTTCACTTTTAACTTCATGTTAGGATATGTTGACCTATTCTAATACTTGTTATAGAGACAATTAAACAGAAATGCCATATATGCATTCGACTTTTTTTATCAGGGATTCGTCTTTAGAGAAGGGTCACAATGGCAGTCGGTCCTAGCTTAAAGTTTTAGATATACTTATTTTCTTTCAGGTGAATAACAGTTTTCTCAGACACTATATTTACAATAATGAATGTATAGATACTAAATGAGTCAGGGATAAGCCACAGAAAATGGTCTACCCTACTCTGCTGACCATCTTCTTCCTATCAGCATGGTTGGAATCGCTCTGCTGGGGGAGCTGCCCTTCAAATTGTCTCTGCAACAAAGACGCTATATCATGCAAATACCTGGAGAAAAATTACACAACTCGATTGGTGAATGTGACAAAAGAAACTGCTCTGAATACCCTCCACCTTACAGTTCGCGCTCAAATGCTCACCGCCTCGTACCAAAGATTCTTGGTGATAGTGCGCCAGACAGATATTTTGACCACGGGACGGAGCTACATAGAACTTGAACACTTCTCTAATCTAGAAACATTAACAATCATCACAAGCCGTCGGTTCTTCATTGAAGTAATCGGACATGGTGCATTTTCTCATCTCAGAAAACTTAATCGTTTAGTTATACGGGAAGAAAGGCCAGAAAATCATTATGGCTATTTTGATCCCACTCGTATAATTGAGTATCCGGTGTTTGGGCATTTTCCTCAATTAGAATATTTTAATATTCATTTGCCAGCGTTTGAGTACGGGACCCAGACGTTAAAATATCAACCTTTTCATCGGTGGCCATGGGGAGTAAACGCATCTTTTCCTCGTTTACGAACGTTGGATATATCAATGAATATTACAGTGTCAAATCCATGTGACGCTTTCTTTAAGCCCTTTTTGAACGCCACTTACTTGGATCTTCATCAAACTTTCATATCTAACACCCATAACTACAGCCTGGGATGCTTCGAGCATCTTGAATCGCTTATCATGGGAAAGTCTTTGGATGTCATTCGTGTTCTGAATAGCATCCCTGGTAACACTCTGAGGTCTTTACACCTCAACTCAGTGGAGTTAGCAGACACTAAAGATTGCGCTCTGCACCACAGACTTAAAACTTTGGCGGCTTTTAATGTGCTGCCGAACGCAGACATGTTACTGGAATGTATGCAGAGTCAAGTTGAACTAGAAACCCTAATACTGAAAAACAGTAATATTCGAAAATTAAGAAGGAAAGATTTTAAAAATTTTACAAACTTAAAGGTTTTATTTTTAGCTTATAACTCTATATCCAGTGGTTTCGACAGAGAAAACAGAAGTGAAGACGTCGCACTCACAAACAAAACGGTGCCAAATCTTAATTTCTTGGATCTGAGTTACAATGAAATAACGTCTATTTCGGAGTTAATTACAACCGATCTAATTCGACTGGAGATTATGAACGTCAGTCACAACTACTTGCAAGCTCTGGATTTGAATGAAATTGTTGGATACAGATCCTTGCGAGAATTATTTCTCAGTTTCAACTCAATTCGATCCGTTATCATGAAGGAACCGGCACTGTCTAATGTGCCCAGTCTTTGGAGACTGGATTTGGGACATAATCTTCTCGAAGACATCCCACGTCTGTTAAATGTAACGTTTCCGAATTTACAACGACTTAATGTTGAGGATAACAAAATATCCACTGTGTCCAGTGAACTTGTTGCTTGGAAAAACCTTCGCTATCTAAATGTCAAAAATAATCTGCTAACCCGTTTGGATCCGGGGTTCTTTGACCACTTGGACTTTATAAACTTAGCTGAAAATGAAATCAAAGATGTTTCCTTCTTGTCCTATCTCTCAGGTGCAGAGAACCTACGCCTGTCACTGAGAGATAATCACATACAGTGCGACTGTGAAACCATAGCCACTTTACACGCTCTGCGACAGTTCGGGTTTTTGCAGGATCTAACTTTGACGTGTGATGGAAATTCTGCACTCAGAAACGTCAACATTTTACATTATGAAACTGTTATTCGAAAAGTATCCTGTGAGCACCATAGGGACTGTTTTAGGAACTGTAGATGTCTCAGAACGAAGGAAGGCAAGGCATTAGTTCATACTGCCAACTGTAGCGATAGTCAACTTACGGGCTTTCCTGCTTCCCTGCCTTCNTGTCTGGGATTTTTTAACTCTCAAATGGGGCCGTCCTGCTGGACGCAGAAAGGACGCCGTCCAGTGTAAAGGGGCCCTTACTACACGCCACTTCACTTTGCATCACTTGGGAGCCTTCGGCCTAATTGGGCATCAAACCCTGGTAATTAATGCCTTCGGGCTTGTACGAATCGCTCTTGCCACATCGGTGTAACATGAATGGAAGTCCCCTATGAACAGTAGTCCACTTCCCATTACTTTGTACAGGTGACACTCGTCCCATATACTAACCCCAATACACCAACTAACCCTAACCTGTACTAATCATATGGGAGCCCGCACTTCCATTCCTAGGACTCCCATTCCTGTTAATACACCGGCATAAAATATCCAAATAAATATATATGACGTATTACACTAAACTAATTTATGATAGCAGAATAAACCAGAATAGTAACGAAGCAAAACACATACCTTTTGTCATTAATAAACCAAAACCACGTTTATGATATGCACACGAACCAGTGCACATGAACAATCTTAGCACTGTAACTTGTAAGCACGTGTCAAAACATCGACATCTTGTTATTGCCTCGTTCTCGCCTCAGCACAACCGATGCATTTACATTTTGTCACATCTGGTGCAATAACAAGCTTGACGCAAATTTAAAGGGCAGCAGCAGTTTCCCTGTCTCCCGTGTTCAAATTTCTCTTTTATGGCGTAACGTCATGAAAAAAAGTAGTAATTCTAAAAAATAAAAAAGATACAAAGTTAATTGCACAGATACCACCCCAATTATTTGAAACCAACGTCGCTCTGCCTGTAGTCATCCTGAAGTCATCTCTGTAAGAACTTCAACAAGAGCGTCTTCCCATACTTCTACGGATAGTATAGGCCTATATTTTGCTTCATTTATTTTCATTTGAGTTTAGGCCCCTAATTCATCAAATATCTTTTTTTACTGAGCTACAGGTATCTGTTCACAAAATTTATATTTACGCTTGCCTTCTTATTAGGCCTATTTTCGGCATTATTGTATTTTTATTTTTATTAATTTATTCATAGGCCTATACATTATTTACTTTTTTTTTCTCTAATGAAAATATCAAAATATTTGTTATGCCTATTTTGCTACAAAATGTTCACAAATAACCATTAACCACTTGAAAACAAAACAATGAGAGATACATGGAAAGTACATCATTGTTGTTAGCGCTGTTGTTTATAATGTCGTCTTTGTTATTGTTGTTAAGTGAACTGAATGATATACAACCGTGAAGAACACGAATAAGAGAAATTTTGTTCGAAAAACAACGCCTTTTAACACAGTCCCAACGTATGTTCCCCCAGAAAATCAGTCTATTTCGCCTTTGGAACCTTATGCTTTAAAAAACCAAAATCCCTTAATACACTTAAAATTCTAGAATTAATCAAAACTCGTTGCTTAACAATCGTTTACGAAAATAGAAATAATTTTATTTCATTTATCCAATGTATAGATGTATAGGCCTACGTGTCAGGAATCCTTGTGTTTAATACATGAGAGCTCAATTCTCTTCCTCAATGCAAGGATAGGCACTGTACGCTACTACTCTCCGATGTAGACCACTATTAAGCATTCTACTCAGACAATGATGGGCATTAAATTAGTGATATATATGCTGACTACTCCAATGACGAGACACCAATGGCACTCGAAATAGCACACATGCATATCTCACTTTACAAGTCAATGTTGATTACCCTATACCCGCGACCTTACACGAGGAAATACATATTCTTAAACATTTGCGTCACAAACTTATTTTCCCCTGATTCACCGTGCTCGTGCGCGTTTATTGAAGAGCAGACGACAACAGGACAAACGTAGGGCCTTTGTCACGTAGATAAACCATTTGGGTGAGCATACCTGTACGTTGTTTATACGTATCCATATTAGTTCAGTAAAGGAATGAACACAAACGATGGCAGGTGAGTAGATGTAGGCCTATGTGCAAATCAGAGGACTATAAGATAAGTGCTTTCGAGTCATTTGTATTTCTTCATCTGTGGGATTGTAAAAAATACACGTGTTTCATCTAATCCAACAAGTTGAAGTACGAAGTTCTTTGGGAACATGAAATTAATTTGACATGATTGTATTTACGCCTAATATGGAGCTACTGAGACTACATGTACATGTATATTTACAAGTCTGAGGCGTACGCGAAGATCGCGTGACAAGTACCATTTGTACTTAAATATCAAACTCATCATCATAATTATGGCCCACTGTATTAGTAAACAGGTTAAAAAGACAGATAGGCTTACCCTGAAGGAGCAACGTACACAAGTGAAAAGTAAGCTGGCTGTGAATGGTTTTATAATACTTGTATCACCTTTAAAGCATAATATTAGTTTTTTTTCACTTTTAACTTCATGTTAGGATATGTTGACCTATTCTAATACTTGTTATAGAGACAATTAAACAGAAATGCCATATATGCATTCGACTTTTTTTTTCAGGGATTCGTCTTTAGAGAAGGGTCACAATGGCAGTCGGTCCTAGCTTAAAGTTTTAGATATACTTATTTTCTTTCAGGTGAATAACAGTTTTCTCAGACACTATATTTACAATAATGAATGTATAGATACTAAATGAGTCAGGGATGAGCCACAGAAAATGGTCTACTCTACTCTGCTGACCATCTTCTTCCTATCAGCATGGTTGGAATCGCTCTGCTGGGGGAGCTGCCCTTCAAATTGCCTCTGCAACAAAGACGCTATATCATGCAAATACCTGGAGAAAAATTACACAACTCGATTGGTGAATGTGACAAAAGAAACTGCTATGAATACAGTCCACCTAACAGTTCGCGCTCAAATGCTCACCGCCTCGTACCAAAGATTCTTGGTGATAGTGCGTCGGACAGATATTTTGACTACGGGACGGAGTTATATAGAACTTGAACACTTTTCTAATCTAGAAACATTAACAATCATCACAAGCCGTCGGTTCTTCATTGAAATAATCGGATATGGTGCATTTTCTCATCTCAGAAAACTTAATCGTTTAGTTATACGGGAAGAAAGGCCAGAAAATCATAATGGCTATTTTGATCCCACTCGTATAATTGAGTATCCGGCGTTTGGGCATTTTCCTCAATTAGAATATCTTAATATTCATTTGCCAGCGTTTGAGTACGGGACCCAGACGTTAAAATATCAACCTTTTCATCGGTGGCCATGGGGAGTAAACGCATCTTTTCCTCGTTTACGAACGTTTGATATATCAATGAATATTACAGTGTCAAATCCATGTGACGCTTTCTTTAAGCCCTTTTTGAACGCCACTTACTTGGATCTTCATCAAACTTTCATATCTAACACCCATAACTACAGCCTGGGATGCTTCGAGCATCTTGAATCGCTTACCATGGGAAAGTCTTTGGATGTCATTGGTGTTCTGAATAGCATCCCTGGTAACACTCTGAGGTCTTTACACCTCAACTCAGTGGAGTTAAAAGACACTAAAGATTGCGCTTTGCACCACAGACTTAAAACTTTGACGGCTTTTAATGTGCTGCCGAACGCAGACATGTTACTGAAATGTATGCAGATTCAAGTTGAGCTAGAAACTCTAATACTGAAAAACAGTAATATTCGAAAATTAAGAAGGAAAGATTTAAAAAAATTTACAAACTTAAAGGTTTTAGTTTTAGCTTATAACTCTATATCTACTGGTTTCGACAGAGAAAACAGAAGTGAACTCGTCGCACTCACAAACAAAACGGTGCCAAATCTTAATTTCTTGGATCTGAGTTACAATGAAATAACGTCTATTTCGGAGTTAATTACAACCGATCTAATTCGACTTGAGATTATGAACGTCAGTCACAACTACTTGCAAGCTCTGGATTTGAATGAAATTGTTGGATACAGATCCTTGCGAGAATTATTTCTCAGTTTCAACTCAATTCGATCCGTTATCATGAAGGAACCGGCACTGTCTAAGGTGCCCAGTCTTTGGAGACTGGATTTGGGACATAATCTTCTCGAAGACATCCCACGTCTGTTAAATGTAACGTTTCCGAATTTACAACGACTTAATGTTGAGGATAACAAAATATCCACTGTGTCCAGTGAACTTGTTGCTTGGAAAAACATTCGCTATCTTAATGTCAAAAATAATCTGCTAACCCGTTTGGATCCGGGGTTCTTTGACCACTTGGACTTTATAAACTTAGCTGAAAATGAAATCAAAGATGTTTCCTTCTTGTCCTATCTCTCAGGTGCAGAGAACCTACGCCTGTCACTGAGAGATAATCACATACAGTGCGACTGTGAAACCATAGCCACTTTACACGCTCTGCGACAGTTCGGGTTTTTGCAGGATCTAACTTTGACGTGTGATGGAAATTCTGCACTCAGAAACGTCAACATTTTACATTATGAAACTGTTATTCGAAAAGTATCCTGTGAGCACCATAGGGACTGTTTTAGGAACTGTAGATGTTTCAGAACGAAGGAAGGCAAGGCATTAGTTCATACTGCCAACTGTAGCGATAGTCAACTTACGGGCTTTCCTGCTTCCCTGCCTTTATCTACGAAGCGACTTTATGTTAATAGAAACCAAGTGGAAACTTTTCCGTCAACGACATTGTTTTCTGATCTACAGGAATTACAGGCCGCAGACAACAACATTGGATCTATTTCTAATAGCAGTTTTACAGCGTTTCCAAAACTTCAATATATCAATTTGGACAGAAATGGCATAGCTGAAGTGGTTGTAGGAACATTTGACAGTCTTCTTTTTTTGTCGATGGTTAGTCTGAAAGGTAACAGTTTGCATTGTGATTGCTCTCAGCGTTGGATACAAGACTGGATAATAAAACGAAATTTAACATTCATAGCCACCTGCAACGACACTACACTCACAAACTTCGATTTCACTGAACAATGTGACAAAACGAAATTCATACTTAACGTTGTCGCTCTTGCTGTTGTATTGGTTGTGCTGGCTGTGTTTATTGCGTTAGTCGCTATCACGTTTTTCTACAGAACTGAGGTAGAAGTACTTATTTACAATCGTTATAAGCAATTTTCACGCGATGACAGCGACACGGACAAGGATTATGACATTTTCATATCATACAGCAATGACGACAGTGTCTTTGTTCGCAATGTTATTATACAGAAAATGGAAACAGAATGGGGATACAAATTATGCATTCACGAGCGGGATTTTTTGCCAGGCGAATATATAGCTGATAACATAGCAAACGCAGTTGAAAAAAGTCGCCGGACGCTGACATTATTGTCTGATTCCTATCTTCACAGTGAATGGTGTGTGTTTGAGTTTGCAATGGCACACCAGCAGAGTCTGAAAGATCGGTGTAGACGATTGGTTGTTGTGAAATTGTCAGATCTCGATTCAAATCTTTTGGCAAAAGAAAACATGGTAGGTATTTACTTAAAAACTAACACATTTCTCCACAAAGGCTGTACAATGTTTTGGGAGAAAGTTCGAGGCACCTTGCCGGCCAAACCATTGAAGCATTTAAAGGTAAATGTTGATAAAATGTAGTTGACTAAATTTCTTTGTATATTGCATTTAGGGATAATATAGAGTTCCAGTAGAGGAGGGATGCGTATTGGCAGACGGAGAAAATACCTTCCAGTAAACATTTTCTTCTATTGAAATGCATCAACTGATCTTAAAAACAGATTTCATGTATCAAAAATTGTTTTAATTTTAATACTATGAATCTCAGAAAGAATAACTCACAAGTGTTTGAAGACCTCATGTCAACTTTCTGCACTACGTCTAATACATAAATGTAACAAGTCCGGTGATAAATAAAATCTTTATTGAGCATATAAAGATATACATTTAAATACTCCTTTACCTCATTTACTCTTTTTATGTTGTGTTTCTATGTCTAATTTTTCACTTTCCAAGCTGATTATTGTTGACTGCTAATAGTAGAGGAAAGTGAATGAGTTCTTTGTTTTACCATTTAAAGGACAGAAGATTGGTTAAAATATATAACTTAAAAATAAAAGTTGCAATCATAATGATTTTTACTTTAAAATCACAGATCATTAAAAAAAGGTTATATCTACAACCAAGTGTCAACATCAGAGACTGGTACACTTAAGCTTGCATTGTTTAGCAGCAGCAAGTATCACATTGTTTTAGGTCATTTCCTAGTTGGCCACTGCTTCATTTGTCTCCAAATTCCGTGCTTATTTATTTATTACTCATAACTCTTCGTGTTAACACACAAAAATGTTCCTGCTTCTAAGAGCGAAGTCTACTCAGCTTACATCTTTGTTATGGAAACCCACCTACTTTGCCTGTTCAACAATTCTATGATGCTGACGATCGATCTTCATAGAGGAAAATTGTTTTTTTATTCAGCCCTTGTAAAACCTAGTATTTTACATAGTCACCTCATGAAAAGAATAAGGTGCATTTTTGTGGGCAATACTAGGTTTTGAAGGTCTGAAAATTATGACTACTCTCAATTATCTATCCAATTTGAAGGGTATTATCAATCTAGACCCAGTTTTTTTGCACCAAGTTTCATAGCACCAGTGCCTTGTCTTTGGGCACGTTTTTCCTGTAGTTCTTTCTGTTTCTGGAGTTTCCTTTCTTCTCTTTTTCTTCTTGCCATATCTGCCTTATTATCTAAGAAAAAAAGATCAGTGTTGGATAAACACAATGCAGAACTCATTCATGTATTTTCTAGTCTATGTGCATGATGAATTATAGTGGAATTAACTCTTGTATCCTTTAAATAAATGATTTCTGCAACTTGAGTTTACTTGCTAAGCATCATGAAAGTTAAATCATCCCACCTATCAAAGAAGATCATTTTGTTTTTCTGGCAGAACTATTATCAACTTTCAAGCTTCTACCTACCTGTATTTTCTATAGACTCCCAGGTGTCACCTCCCCACCCGTCATCGTCCCAGCCTCCTCCTCCTCCTCCAGTTTCCCAGCCACTATCTTTAGCAGGTGTTGATGACGGGGTTGTTCTTGCTGGACTGGACCTAGCCTGTCTCTCTACTGACGATCTGGTGGAAGATGGACGAGACCCTGAGCTCTGCGAACTGTGAGACTTGGGTTTCTGGATTCAAAAAGAAAGAATATTGTTAAACTTTACTAGGTTTACTCTTCAACCGAGAACTGAGTTTTATGGTAAACAGAAAAAAAAGATGCAAAATAGGTCATTTTGTCAATTTTGATGCAATAATAAATAATGCTTATAATAGCACAGTCAGTCAACACTGATTTTTAATCATGCACAACAGGTAACATGGTCAATAACAGGAGCAGATCCAGAGATATTTTCTGACAGTATTCCAAATTATCTTTGTTGATCCATCCTCGATTTTGATGGTCTTCCAACAGAAACCCGTTAATATAAACTTTAAAATCTGACTGTCTTCCAGGAGACCCAGAAGATGGTCTTAATCCACCCCTTTAATAAGATTACAGTTTCAGGACCATGAGAGTTAAAATTCACATGATGAAAGTCCCAGTATATGAAAAATGATGACAGTGCATAAAATAATATAACAGTGTGTTTAAAGACATAAATACCAATACAACTGCTTATGTGGAAATACTGAAAATGTGCAGAGCCTCAGGTGGATGGGAGTTAAAAGTCACATCTTAAAAATGCCAGTGTTGGAGAAAAAACTAAAAAGAAAACAACAAAAATATTATGGACACTATGTTATCTAGCAGAGAGCTTAACCTTTGGGAGTTTACAGGGAAATATCGACAAGTGTGCTTTATGAAATTTCATTTGATGGCCACTTAATTAGACAAATGAGTTTATAACACTAAACTTAGCCTAGTGAATACCCAAGGGGAATTTACAGACTGGCCACACAAATTTGTCTATNCTTTGAAGCATTTAAAATTAAATGTTGATAAAATGTAGTTGACTAAATTTCTTTGTATATTGCATTTAGGGATAATATAGAGTTCCAATAGAGGAGGGATGCGTATTGGCAGACGGAGAAAATACCTTCCAGTAAACATTTTCTTCTATTGAAATGCATCAACTGATCTTAAAAACAGATTTCATGTATCAAAAATTGTTTTAATTTTAATACTATGACTCTCAGAAAGAATAACTCACAAGTGTTTGAAGACCTCATGTCAACTTTCTGCACTACGTCTAATACATAAATGTAACAAGTCCAGTGATAAATAAAATCTTTATTGAGCATATAAAGATATACATTTAAATGCTCCTTTACCTCGTTTACCGTTTTTATGTTGTGTTTTTTATGTCTAATTTTTCACTTTCCAAGCTGATTATTGTTGACTGCTAATAGTAGAGGAAAGTGAATGAGTTCTTTGTTTTACCATTTAATGGACAGAAGATTGGTTAAAATATATAACTTAAAAATAAAAGTTGCAATCATAATGATTTTTAATTTAAAATCACAGATCATTAAAAAAAAGGTTATATCTACAACCAAGTGTCAACATCAGAGACTGGGACAGTTTATCTTGCATTGTTTAGCAGCAGCAAGTATCACATTGTTTTGGGTCATTTCCTAGTTGGCCACTGCTTCATTTGTCTCCAAATTCCGTGCTTATTTATTTATTACTCATAACTCTTCGTGTTAACACACAAAAATGTTCCTGCTTCTAAGAGTGAAGTCTACTCAGCTTACATCTTTGTTATGAAAACCCACCTAATCCTATGATGTTGTCGATCGATCTTCATAGAGGAAAATTGTTTTTTTATTCAGCCCTTGTAAAACCTAGTATTTTACACAGTCACCTCATGAAAAGAATAAGGTGCATTTTTGTGGGCAATACTAGGTTTTGAAGGTCTGAAAATTATGACTACTCTCAATTATCTATCCAATATTAGGAGGTTATTATCAATCTAGACCCACTTTTTTTGCACCAAGTTTCATAGCACCAGTGCCTTGTCTTTGGGCACGTTTTTCCTGTAGTTCTTTCTGTTTCTGGAGTTTCCTTTCCTCTCTTTTTCTTCTTGCCATATCTGCCTTATTATCTAAGAAAGAAGATCAATGTTTGATAAACATACACAGTGCAGAGCTCATTAACGTGTTTTCTAGTCTATGCACATGATGGATAGTGAATTAACTCTTACATCCAGTAAATACATGATTTCTGCAACTTGAGTTTTATTTGTTAGGAGTCATAAAAGTTAAATTATCCCACCTATCAAAGAATATCATTTTGTTTTTCTGGCAAAACCTATAATCATTGGAACTTTCAAGGTTCTACCTACCTGTATTTTCTATAGACTCCCAAGTGTCACCTCCCCACCCATCATCGTCCCAGCCTCCTCCTCCTCCTCCAGTTTCCCAGCCACTATCTTTAACAGCTGTTGATGACGGGGTTGTTCTTGCTGGACTGGACCTAGCCTGTCTCTCTACTGACGATCTGGTGGAAGATGGACGAGACCCAGAGCTCTGCGAACTGTGAGACTTGGGTTTCTGGATTCAAAAAGAAAAAAATATTATTAAACTTTACTAGGTTTACTCTTCAACTGAGTTTTATGGTAAATATGAATCAACAATGAGAATCAACAGATGGTCCCGTGCAAAACACATTGTCTTAAGAGTCAAGTTGTAAATCTATTCAGTTCCTTTCCAAAATTTTAACACATACATATTCAGGAGGTGGGGAAAAAAAACGCCCCAAGACAACACGCATGCTTAATTTCTGTTTCACATCAACATCTTTTTCTGTAACGATGTTATTGAAATATACTGAAATATATTAAATAGTAGTACCAACCTGAGACTGAACGCCTAGAGAAGTAGAAAAGAAGTCATCGGCTGTATCTTGGACTCCCCAGTTGTAGGAGCTTGCTGGAGCTACAGAGGCGTCCTCTATTGGGGCAAAGTCATCTACTCCCCAGTCATCAAATGCTGACGCCTGTTGCTTGGGTGCAGAGCTTAATGACATGCCACTTCTCATTCCAGATGTTTGGTCCTAAGGAGTAGATCAAACAGAAATCAAATAAAACACAACTTCCACAATCACATTTACTACAGTGCTGTATCGCTTTATTAATTCTTTTCATATACAGTGGTCAAATTGGTAACATCAGTATATCTATACTTCATAGAAGAAATCTTATTTTATCAAATAATATTCTTAATGTCCATACTTATCTAAACAATTCTATGTTTGCTGATATTAACTTATTCTTTCTACCATATACTTATAGACTTCGTATTGCCCCAAACATTAACTACGTGCTACAGAACCCATGCACTGCAGCAGTCAGTGTTAGAAATTAACGCTGGACCGTCTACCTGGGGCTGACAACTTTCAGAACGGGCTGAGAAGTTTTTCCACCTGACAGACATTCAAGCCAGCAACTTTTCAAGATGGCTGAACTTTCGGTCCAGCAACTAATTTTCCCGAAAGGCAAACACTGCATGCAGTGCAGTAAACAAATATGCCTCACTACCTGCTGTCTATTGGGGACAGAGGATGTGTCCTCTAAGCTTCCCCACTCTTCATTATCCCAGTCATCTCCATCTTCATTTTCCTTTACAGCTACATCCTCATCAAAATCCTAACATCAAGATATCACATACAATAAGTTATAGCATGGGTATTAATGTTCATTCTTTATGCACAGACTAATTCTTAAATTCTGCTAGTATCAGATATGACTGTTAGTCAAGAATTTCAACAGGAAAGGCTTTTGGTATTTATTTGCCATATCTGAAGATACTGTTAAACCAAAGTGTTTTTTCATTCACATATTATATGATCTTGTCAAGTGAATATATGTATAAACAGACAATACTTCATTTCAAGATTGCAATAATTAAATCTACTCACATCCATGTCTCCCCACCCTTCATCATTCCACCCAGACTCTTCTGCAGGCTCATTATTATGGCTGCTAGGTGGCGCTGCAGGAGTTGGTGGCTTGTCTTGGGATGCTGGACGAACAGCTGTCTCTGAAGCTGCTGGATTACTGGCACTTGCAGGAGTTGCTGTATTAACAATATTCTTTATATAACAGTCATCTATTTTTCACACAAGGGTCTGTTGTGATTGATCTTATATGCATACTAATTACAATGTGATAATTAGAAGATGGCACCAAGCATCTGTACCAGTAGAGCAACCATACACTCCAACAATTTAACCACTACACATCTGTGAAGAATTAAAAAATATATATATATTAGGGCATAACTGTAAGCTTTGAAAGTGTGTACAGTCAGAAAGAAATCAAAAGTGTGCATTACTCATGCAGATACCTTGAGAAGTGGCAGGAACAGTAGCATTCCCTTTGCCTCTTCCCTTGTAAATCTTTGAAGTGATAGACGTGAGAGAGGACATGCCACTGACCGCCCAGCCTGTCCATCCACTGGTCACTGCTGACCCACCAGCATTCAGGTCCTTCTCTGGAATCACATTATGGTAAGGTTACAAAATATTCTCAACCAAGGTCTTAGAATACTATATACTTTTCAAACCTAAAATAGTTGAGGTCATAGGTATTGTTATATGATTGTACAACTTTTGTGAAATTCATTTTCATTTCATATTTTGTTATGCTACTAATTTTCTTGCCTAACTCTTGCTCCATTTCTGGATGTTCTGATACCTTCTCCAGCTTTCCAAGGAAACATTTGATGGCCTTGAAAGCCTAAGAAACAGATATTCAGAGTGTTATGTATATCATCTTTATTCAGGAGGAAAATTATTTTCGCCTATAATTTCAAATCTAAATTACCTTTGTTAGAAAATACCTTATTTCTGATTGGAAATTTTTCAGCAAATTACCAGAGTCATTAGATTTATTTCCAAGGAATTTTGTAAACATAATATACAGGCTATAAATCAAATTTTACATTTTCTTCCCATTGGACAATCAATCAGTCTTCAGCTTTCAAACAATTATTGCTCTTAGCTTTATAATGTGTGTCAAAAGAAAAAAAAAAGGTTGTTTGAATTTACCTGGTCTCTTACTCCCTTCTCAGGATCCACTGCTGAAACACATAATGCTGGTAGAAGTCTGGTGGCTGAGTCTTTGAGAGAGAAGAAATTGTGGCATGCTGCCATAGCTAGAATGCCTGCTTGTCGCGAAGGCCCAAAGGGGTCTTTCAGAGCCCTAAGAAAGGCTGATGGCAATACTTTCTGGCGGATCTAAAGACAACATAACATACTTTAATTAAATTGATGCATGGCAGACTTTTTTCTTTACCTAGCTAAGCCGACTTTTTGTCACTTGTAAAGATAATTTTCTTTGAAAATTGTTTTAAAAATTCTATAATTTTTCATCAATCTTACGTTGATTTGTGAAAATATCTGTATCATTGTATTTACCTGTGGGTCAAGATGACAGGCTATCTTGCCTAAACACACTGTAGTGTTGGTCCTGATGCCTCCCTATTGAACAAATACAACACACTTTAACAGCCTGATAGTTTAAAACAATCTTATCTAGCCACAGTCACTGTAAACGTTGTTTTGTAAAATATGTATAAACACTGACATAAGTAAACTCCAGGAAAAGCATGCCTGGATTTCTGTCACTCAAGGACATACACAACTCAAAAGCATATTAATTTTTTTTTCGACTATTTTGTGTTGCTGAGGTGTGTTGACCAATCTTGCTTAACTGACCTGGTCATCTTTTGATTGTAGTCTTGCAAAGTGTTTCATCAGCTCTTCATTGAGGTTCTTGTAATTCAGTTTGGATGCCAAATACAACATGGCCTAGAAATGGACAAAACAATATCTTTTATCTAAAATGCTGAAGATTCACAACATGAACACATGCACAGCACATTGTAAATAAGTGATAAAAATCTACTTCAGTGCATGGGATGAATTAAATAATTATATAATTTTTAATGAAATGAAACAATATCACTCACTTTAATAGTATGTTCTCTAACTACTGGATTTGTATCCATGAATCCCTGAATGACACTGGGAAAGATTTTCTCATTCACTGTGGGTGGATACAGGAAGTCTGCAAAAAGTTCCAGCTGAAATGTACATTGTAAATTATCAAGCTTTTGTCTGGTTTAGTTGGCAGAAACAGTATATAAGGAAACAATTGTGTACAGTTCAAGAAAGTGCTAAATTTGAGCTTTCTTCCTGTGTATGTGGATGTGTGTGACAGAGAGGAGGTTAATTGAATTAATTTTGTTTGGAAATACATGGTTACTGTATGTTGGAAGACATGACAAGGACCCTTCAAACCGTTTTTCTTCATAAAATCATACCCGACTCTAAATGATCTTGCAACTGTTTAGAGTTCAACAATTTAAATATTTAAAATTAAATAAATATTTACCTGTATGGAACAATAATTTCAACATTTGACATTATATCAAAATTTTCTTTTACTACATAATTTTTTCATCTATACTGATACAATGCATAAAATACCTGTTGTAACATTTTGACTCTAGTAGCTCTATCTGTAGATGAGAATAATTTTACAACACAGGGCACAATCTTTTTCTGATACTCTTCTTGGTCAAGAAGTTTGCCAATCTGCAAGAAAACAATGCATGAACTGAACATATTATGAATATTAGAATAAAAATATTTACTACTTAAGACTCAGCTACAAGACAGATAAAAGAATAGTATATATCAAAGCAATGCTATAACACAGGTATTTTCTCACAACTCCAAATGTTTGTTTTCACTACTTAAACCATCTACTTTAAGTCTGAGCTGTTTTCCTACAAAAGCCTATAACTAAAGTTCAAAACAAATGACACAAAAGCTTGGAGAGAAGCTTCAGAAATGACACTCACTTTAAACAATGGAGTTAATACTGCTGAACCTGCATTCCCAAACTCAAAGGCATTTAGAAGCTGTGGTAGGATTTTATGTTTACAAAATTCCTTGGGAAATAAATCTAATGACTCTGGTAATTTGCTGAAAAATTGAGTCTTTTCTGTTTGGTCTTTTATCTGAAACAAATAAAAGAAGATATTTCATTCTATTTGGCAAGCTACTTCAAAGTGCTACCAAACCTGCTGTGGCAAAACACATTATTCTGATATATCATTTTTAATCAACATCAAAGTTCACTGACCAAACATAATTTTGCTAACTAAACACGTTCTTTACTGAACTCACAATGCATCTGTAAACTGAGACTGAAAGAAAGATTTTATAAACATTAATTTCCCCCAACATTGCCTCATCTAACAAGTCATCATACCTGTATTTCTTCTAAAAATAACATGGTGTCCACAAAACTATTACACATAAACCCTCCTTTTATCCTGCAGTCTTGTATAAACTTTGAGGGATTTGGCCTTGACTTAGGGTTTGCTCCCACAAGCTCACAGTAGTTGGCAACTAGATTTTGGGGAATCTGGATATGAAAATTAACTATAAGCTTATAAGCAACATTGTCAAGTATTATTGCTAGAATCTTAAAATTTTGTGGACCATAGTATAAGAAGAGTTACTGTTACGTTTTAGAAAAATTAATCCTATTTTATATTCAACATCAGAGATTTTCAACTGCTTGTGTCAGATGCTTTTAATAAACTAAAATAAGTGGATTCAATCTTCACAGACATTCAATTCCCCACACATGCTTTGCGGGTGCTCAAAATAAAATCTAAATATGCCAAACTAAAACATTTATTTAATGCCGATATTGAGTACCTTTCCAGTTGACTTCAAAGAGCTGGTTCTAGGCAGCTGACCATTAAATATTTCCCAAATAAGGCAACCTAATCCCCATGAATCTGTGGACCTGTGAAATCAGAGCAAATCTTCAACTTTTTTAAAACACAATAACACTATAGTATTTTTCTGGCTGAACACTTAAAATATCCAGAAAGTGACATTACATTAACCAGTTGCAGTAGTATTTACAGTCAATCTCACCATTTTTCTCCTTTCTTTTTCCGTGGTCCACTAAAATCTGCCTTTTCTGGTGGATCATATTTTTCTAAAATGGGCAGTATTTTGACAGGGGGTAAGCTTTCTGGTCCCTCAGCTGGATACATGTAGTCCACTCCCCCTAATTTCCACTCGCCTGCTTTGTCCACAAATACTGACACCATACTCACATTGTTGTGAATTAGGTTGCAGTCATTGACTAAGAAACTTAGCCCTTTCTGGGAACGAACATAAAAATAAATGCCCATAATTGGTTTTAAATCAAACAAGTGACCATATCTTTTAAACAATACCTTAGGTGAATCCTTTTTCTTTTAGGGTGTGTGTGTGGGGGGGGGGGGGGGGAAGGGGAATCACTCTATCTTTTAAAAACAGCATGATTTCCTTTCAAGAAAACCTAATTCAATATAGTTCCAAGACCTGACGATGCATTAAAATGTACTCCATTAAAGAAGATCCTCAAAGAGATGTAGTATTTACTTGATTCCAAAGTGCTACATATCTTATGTTAGGCAATAGTATATATAAAATAAAATTTCATAGACTTGACTCACAGCTATCTGATGCAAGCCCCAGGCAATAGCCAAGTTGTTCTGACTGTTGTCCCCTGTGTTTTCTCTCAGATATGTCTCCAGTGGAACAATATGCTCTGTCACAACATAGATAACCTTGTCTGTCTACAAACAACAATATCAATGGTTTAACAAAAGGCCAACAAAATCAATTCTGAATATATATATATATATATATATATATATATATATATATATATATATATATATATATATATATATATATATATATATATATAGCATGCAAAACACAAAGTTTAATATGCATGCTCTTGCTAATAAAATGCATTATATCTATTAAAGTGAAATGTTCTTTCCAAACTGATATCTTATATTTCTTACAGAAGCAATATATTCAACAAGCAAACACTACGTGAAAACTGGTGTTAACAAGGGCTGAATGTACTTGCCTCTATACCATCCATAAAAGTCAAAATGTTTGGATGCCTCAATGTTTTTATCCTTTTAAAAGATGCCTTTGCAAGTTGAACCTGACATAAATAAGAAAGCTGACTAAAATCACATCAAGTTTCTAAAACAGTGTCATGGAAAATTTTGTCTTGATTATTCATCTATTTGCCACTGAGATTTCTTAAGTAATATAATAAATCTGGAAAGAGTTCACATCATCAGTTAAAAGAAAGTCATTTTAAATGTATTTCATTTAAATGATATCACCATGCTTTCATGTAAAAACACATAGGAAAGTATATTTCTTTTATTAGCTGAATTGAAGATTAATTCATCCATTTCTCTAAATTTTATTAAATGTTTATGACAATCTATGACTTTTTCTTCATTTTCTCCCACTGCCATATCATGTGCCTAATAGCCAAGGATAGATCTATTGGTTCATGATCACTACATGATTTAATATACATGTATAACCTGATGCAATCTTACCTGTGAGTCACTGCTTGATTTAACATCAAAAACAAAGATGGAGACCAGCTCACCAGTACTCTGAAACAATGACATGGTTAAAATTTTTATGTGTAATTCAAATAGTCAACATAATACATCAATTTCCCTATAATTGATTGAATAACTGTGGTTATGGGCGTCTGCAATAAATTATAAGCAGAGTTATTGGTACCAGTATAAATAGTCCAGGTTCAAAATGACAGCATTTTTGCGAATACTACAGACTAGACCACATAGCATATTGCAACTTACAAGTAAAAGCAGTACACCAAACAAAAACTATCATGAGAAAACCAGATTAAATACACTTTTAATGTGAGATTTGGGTTTCTTCCGACTTAGAATACCTTTTTCTTTCCATTATGCAAGCTCCAGATTGACTGCTCCTCGAGACCCAAAACTTTTTCACCAACTTCAAACGGAAAATCTTTAGTTGGATCTCTGCTAAACAGTGACCACATTTTTCGAGTGATGAGTAAATGTCGTTATAAAATGAGTGACACGCCGACTGTGACAAGCCAACTCACAACTTTTCTGGTTTTAGTACCCACTTACGATGTCCGTTTTACGATTGTCGTCCAAACTGTCTTTTACGACACAACTTGAGGTGCAAACAGTTTTGTTTTACCTTTATTTTAATAATTTGATCAACGTTGTTGTTTTACTAAGCCAAGTATGGTATTTTAAAAACAGTTAATGAAACTGGCATGTTTACACGTGCATTGTCAAGGCTCTCGGTCGGATTCTACCCACAGTTACTGCGTATTTTAGCTACCTGTGGTACTACTGTGAGCAGAGCTGGTCGTATTGTGCGTGCCGTATCAGAGAATGGGAAACTTGGGATTGTTGACAAAGTATGTGACCTCAGCTTTAAAGTAATTGGTAAATAAAAGTTATGTTAGGTTTTTCAGTGTCATTTGCAATTTTTAAGCTGCTATTTATCTTTTTTCAAAGGCAATTAATAAAAAGGGAGTTTACGTTTTGGTGTGTGTGTGTGTGCATGTGTGTGTGCGTGTGTGTGTGAGTTCGCGCGCAAGAAAGAGTGTGTGTGTCTGTGTGACTACTCTGGTTACAGTTAGGACAGCAGCGACTTGCACACAATGTGCATTGTGATGACCAATCAAAGATCAGCATTTTGGTGACGTACACAATTCGGTTTGTAAACATGAAAGTGTACAGGTAATCGAAGCTGTAGCTCGTACCCGAGTTCAGAGATAACGAAAAGATAAGCAAATGATATAATGTTAGCATTCCATAGTGTGGTCCTTTATCTGTATGAAAAGATGACAGGTGATAGCCCAGTTGCGAAGAGAAGGAGGTCAGACATGGAAGGGGTGCCCCTCTTACTGAAAATCCTCGCCTCCTCTGTCCCCGTGGCTGACAAATCGGGTGGACTTATTAGAGACGTGCTTGAGAAAGGTGATCTTGGGGTTGTTAAGAAGGTAAAACTAAACTTTGACCAAAGTTTCTGAGTTCATTTATTGTGCCATTAATGTATTAACTTAACATTAAAATGTATTAACTCGAATAAACTGCCGTTTTTCGTCGCAAATCGGAGACATCACTCCGCATTCTGTGTTCGTTTTAACATCGGGGTCTTTTTTCTCATTTTTCACCTTTGCCTATGTAAAGAGGGGGATAGTTAACTTGTTTACATGTGTTACGTTAGTGTTATAAGTATCTGCATGTCAGACACTGAGATGAATAAACCCAAATCTGCTTCGTCAGTATCAGTTAGCCCGTATCAAGTTTGAGACCCCCTTTTTGACCTTGGTTTTGAGCATGCAGAATGACTTAGCTTTGTAGATTTAAAAACCCCTATGAAATGCCGATCAGACACTATATTTCAAATAGGGCAATATATATACTCTGGCTATGGTCGATACAATTTTTAAGACCTTTGAAAATAGCAAGAAGATTTATGATTAATATTATGTTTCCTTTAGTCTGATCAGTAAAATCCAGATTACCAGGGTACATTATGGGACAATATTATATATGGTGATTACATTAGAGGCCTACATACATGAAAGTTGAGCTTTATCAGACTTCAAATTCCCCAAATCATAATATTAATAAATAGATAAGATTGTGTTATTATCTATCCATAATAATCAGTATTATTCTGTCAAGCTTTTTTAAAGATATTTTTTCTTGGGATGGGCAGAACAGAGGTTTTTCATGTTATCCAGATGGAAGCACAAAAAGCAAACAGAAGTGACAGTCTGTATGGTCAGTGATGATTAGTTTAATCACCTGAAAAAGGGAATGATATGTTTCATGATATGTTACCTAATTGTACTGTATATTGGACAATGCAAGGACAATTCTATAAACAAGCAGACATATAACATTAAAAACAGGTTCACAAAATATTTATACAGCTTTTGGGCGAGAAGTATACTATATAAAAGTGAGCATCGTTGATTTTTCTAGGGCTGGAATGATCTTCAGACAGAAGCTGACAGAGCTGCTCAAAGATGCATCGTTGCTTCCCTTTCTAAAAGCTTTCCAAATGTTACAATAATTGGAGAGGAGGTAAGGGTTAGGGAATAATGTCTTTTATATACAATACTGGCTGGAAGTGGATGGTGGATTTAAATATTTATTTGTTTGTACAGAATTGTTAATTAAGTTATTCTCAAGTTATTGCCATTCAATATTGTTGCAGTACAGATTTACCATCATATCATGGTGATTTGTTATGGGGAAGATATTGATTTAACTGTAGTGTTAATTTATGGATTCGGATGTTCACGTAAATTGTTGAATATATTAGAATAAGGCTCACTACAGTTTCTCACATGTTGTTCACTGTGTTTAATACTGATTGTGTTGTCTTTGTTTCTAGGAAACAGACCCAAATGAAGATATCAAACCAGACTGGGTTGAAACAAGTCTGGATGAAAATATCCTCAAGCATGTATCAAATTTTCCAGAAGAATGGAAAGATGTCAAGGATGAAGATGTATGCTTTTAAATTTGGCAAGATTTATCTGTCTACATTAAAACAGTTAAATATATTAAAAATATCTGCTTTTAAAACAATACCTAGGTACGTAGGTTGAGGAACAGAAAGCAGTTTTTTGTCTCAGAATTCAAAATATCAGTGAGGGTGAACACCCAACAAGAAGTATGTTAAATAGGTAGGACTTCTAGGTGAGTCCTGGCATTGTCTGTTTTGGTTTGTAAGGTATGCTGAAAATAAAATGTACAACTACATATCTTGGCTTTTTTGCTCCCAAATTTGCCCATAAGATATAGCTCAGTAGTTGGACTGTACTTTATGGGCACATTTGGGATGAAGAAATACAAGATAATATGTAGATCTGCTGTGTATGTATTATCCTGAGTGCACTGTATATAAAAGAGACAAAATTTTCGGACTTGCCTACCTACTAGTGCTCAGTGTGCTTTCAGTTTGGGGGTTAACCCCCTTTAAGATGTATTAAAATATTTGTTGGTGTTCTGGATCACTCCTAGTAGATGGTGGTTTGCCTTTTCAATTTTCAGTCTCTGGCTTCATGCCTGATAATGATGAATGGGTTTCTCAAAATAGATGATCCATTGATTCAGGGAGCAGACAATTAATGGATTTTTTTCTGCAGGATGAAGGGATTTATATCAGAATTAATAGCAGTCAGTTCATGATATATTTAAAATTATATTTCAGATTGTAATTTGGGTTGATCCACTTGATGGAACTGCAGAGTACACACAAGGTAAGTTTCAATATGTCCCAGTACATCTTTTCACATCATGCTGCTCTATGATTTAATCTATGCTACAGATTCTCATACTTTGTGAAAAAAATTATGGTGTCCCACAATTTGACCGGACTCTTTTATACCTTGTCAGAAACAAAATGCCTCAAATTGCCATAGTGATACCCAAAGAACATGTGACCTAAAAGTGTTCATCTTTGGTTTTTGTGAATAAGTACAAGGTCATACAAGGACTGTTCACGCAGCAACAATAACGCTTGTAGTCACATTGCTAATTGCATCTTTTCCCCTGTTTTAGCTCTTAGGAGCCATATAAAGTCTGAAACATGATATTGATTAAAATGGTGTTTGTTAATGTGTTCACATAAAGATAATAAGTGCTTATTGATTTTCCTGTGTTATTGAAAGGTTGTAAGTGTAAGCGATATTCCATTTCCTGTAATATTCCATTTCCTGTAATATTCTGACATTTCTGTCTTGAATTCTGTTAAAGACTGATCTTTGATTTCACCAAAACAGGAGTGGTTTTATTGATTACAGCTGTAATGATGAACACTACTCACTATCTAGCAGTCCCTGAAGTCCTTAGAGACGTACAGATTACTTTTTGGCACAAGATACTGAATTTTAATGGTATTTATGGCAATATTGACAGCCACTCATACGAGACATTTTCTAAATGTGTCCCCCTCTGCAATGTAATCTTACCTTTTCGCATCATTGTGAGTCTCCAAATCACTTGATCTCAAGCTATTTGAACAACTTGTTTTTAGCAGGACTTCTTCCAAGTCATATGAAGGTTATTAATCACAAATTATGCCTTTCAGAATAAATGCTTTATACTGTTTCTCTCTGCACCCCATTTGCAGTTAATTCAGGGCTGTGCTCTGTTTGTTTTTTATATACCGTACTTTGAGTAGCACAAGGAGAAGATGTAAAGTGTTTTCAGTGAACTGTTGTTTCCAGTACTCATTTATTTTTTAAGTATTTTTCTCTTTTAAAATGCTAACATTACTTAACAAAGTTTGATACTTGCTGCTTGGTAACCAAGTTGTAATTTTTATGTCAGGTTTGCTGGACCATGTTACTGTGTTGATTGGTATAGCAGTTAAGGGTAAGGCTGTGGCAGGTGTAATTCACCAACCTTACTACAACTACAAGGCAGGGCCTGGAGCTACACTGGGAAGAACGATATGGGGCATGGTTGGATTAGGTATGATAAACAACAGACATAAGTACTGAAATTCAATAAATTACAACAAATTAATTTGAAGTGTATGCCAAGTGAATGTACCCTAGGTTCTAGATTCCGGTATTGCCAGCTCGATCTTGATTTCATATATAACCCATGTTGCAATAAAAGCAACTCCACCACGAGGTATATTTAGCAAGCTAGCTTTTACGTTTCTCTGACACTCAGGGTAAGTGAATGCCAAGTACAAGTAATTGCTAAAATGACAACTACAAATTACGAATATTTTGTTTTGAATTTTAATGTGATTGGAGAGTTTTAACCTTGTAGTTTTGGTTTTAAGGTGCATTTGGTTACACTCAGAAGCAACCGCCAAAGGGCAAGAACATCATAACCACCACCAGGTCCCACTCTAATAAGGTGGTGACAGACTCTGTGGATGCATGTGAACCAACAGAAGTGATAAGAGTGGGAGGTGCTGGCCACAAGGTATACAGTTATGGTACTGCTAAGGCAATTTGCTTTTATGCATAGTTAACCTCCATAACTTGGGCGAGTTATGAAAGAACAAAGCTTTCATGATGTTATAGTGCCTGTTTAATAGCCTGAAAACCATGGTTTCCTTAATGATTTAATATAGCCTTTTGTGAGCAAATTCTGTTGATCTGCAGGTCTTAATGCAGTTACCTCTAATATAAGTCTCTGAATGAAAATATACCTAAATGTTTGAATTCTTCTAACTACAGGGCGTCTCAATGTACATAGGGCCCATTAACATGATAATGATTTAATACTTACTAAACTTAGACAAGAGTATGTCCTTAAAGCTGATACAATAACACTTAAAAACGTACATTGGTGTCTCAAGCTCAAAGGATGCATTTTTACAGCAGGTGATCTAAATGACCAAAATTTCGCTGACAGCACACTGACTACCAATGTTCTCAATCACCCTGACACGCTCTGCTTTTGGTATGGCATTTTTAGTAATTCTCAGTAGTAAATCATTATCATATCAATGGGTCCCGTGTATGCCGAGACACCCTGTACAAAACTTCCAATTCTGGCTTTCCTTTCATAGGTGTTGCTGCTCATTGAAGGTGAAGTTCATGCATACGTCTTTGCAAGTCCAGGATGCAAGAAATGGGATACATGTGCCCCTGAGGCAATCCTTACAGCAATAGGAGGCAAGCTGACAGACATTCATGGCAGTAAGCTTCAGTACCATAAGGAGGTACAGCATAAGAACACTGCAGGAGTGCTGGCCACATTCTCTGTAGATCACCAGTGGTACCTGGATAAAATACCTCAGTCTGCCAAGGATGCTCTAAAACCATGAGGGTATTTGGAACTTGGGTCTAAACTGTAGATGTCTGGTATAAACGTGATACGTGTACACTCAAAAGCTGTGAAATATTATCGATTTTTCATGTAATCAGAAGAGGTGGGATATCATTTTAAAATGTTTCATTTACATAATATGTGAGGAAGGTTCACTCTTCCTTCAGTATCGTCAGCTGTAGACCACAACAAACTTCTTTAATTTAGAGCCAGTTTGACAGCCATATGAATTATAGTTTCCAGAAATTGGCGTTTCAGAATGCAATGTGTAGGTTATTGAGGAACATGTATGTAGTATTTGGTGAAGCATTTTGTCTTCTCTCCAAAGATAAGGAAAACATTTCAAAAAGTAGTTAATGGACTCAAGTTCCATACCTGGTACGTGCTTTTTTTTTTTGTAGGTGGCTGGGCTTAACCGCAGCAACTTATATTTTCGCTGCATTTATCTGCTTGGTATAATTTACATGAAACTGTGTTAAAATCATTTAGTAGACTTCTTTGAACAGATTAGAAATACATGTATGCAATTTTCTTACCTGTCATGTTTGTGATGTTGGATATTAGGATCAGTGCATTCTGCGTGTTGCTATCTAATGTTGCATTTTCAAGTACCTAAGCATTTAACTTTTGAAAATGTGATAAATGCAGATGTATCATGTTAATAAAGATGGATCATTACCCATTCCACATATGAATCTAAAATTAACCTCAAGATTATTTCTCTTCTCAGTATAACTTTTTTCTCCAAAATATTCTTAAATTTTGCAAAAGGAAGAACATTCTTATTCCCAGATTAAGTTACTTATTAAATCATGAAATTGAATTCAGATTCTTGTATTTTCTTAGAATTAAAAATCTCTTACTCTTGCCCTTGTTGAAATAATAATAACAGTAATATGGTAAGAAATGTACCATAACACTGTCTAGAGGCAGCTGGTGAATTTGCATACCCAAAATTAAGTAAAACAACTGAAAAAAAGAGACCAAAAATATACTACTGTACAGATTAACACAAAGATGAAAAAATTTACATTAACGACACATTTCATCACATTTTTAAATCAAAAGAAATTCTCTGTAACGCAACTGGGTGGGAAGACAATACTGTGTAAAAACTCTACAATTGAAAGATATATAATGAGAGAAGTGAGGGTCGATATGTTGGGTGAACAGTTATGCTGATCTCTGAAATGCAAAACTTGGTGAAATAATAAAATATGGAAACAATGCAGAAAAAAAAGAGGTTTATCTTCCTTAGTTTAGATTTTGTACAAAATAATGTAGACACACTCAATTACATACGGAACATTTTAAGATTGCATAAAACCAGCATCAAAAGTTTGGAATGCCAGGTATTTTCTTTTAATTGCACTTAGAATAAATATCTACATATTTCTGCACCAAATGCACAAGTTTGCAGCAACAATTCACACAACTATCCACAAGTCAACTTTGGCTGTGTCACTAGATATTTTGTGCCTATATGTAAACTTTTGTAACAAGCAATACCTTCAACTTGAAACATCCCTGTAGAATTATCAGCAAAGTCTCCTTAAACTTTAAATCCCCTTAAGATCACATTATCCAACAGAAATGGAGTCTCCTGAAACCTACAAGCTCTCGCCTGTCAGTGTAGTCAAGTTGTATCCAGAAACAATCCAACCTACTGGAGAATGCTGTTCCTATGGCAATTCATGTGACATGCAGTGGTGGTTCCTGTACCTGGGAACACACTGGATGCAGTCTTGCTACATAAATACATATCACTTTGAAATGAAGCCATTCTAGTGTGTAATATTACTAACGATAATAATGATCAGTGTCTCCTAGTCCGCAAAGCACGTTCTCTGTTTGCTACTCGTACAGAATGTCTGTGTCTGACTGTCCGTGTAGAATGACTGCTCAAGGCTGCTTTTGATTTGGTGTCTGCATTCCTTTTAGTACTATGAACTTGACTTTTTCTTTCTGGCTTGGATTTGATTTTTTGTTTCGCCAAAGGGCAATGACTGGAAATACAATCAAATTGTGTGAGGGTCATTTACATTTCAATTGCTTCATAAATATACTTCAAATGCATATACAACTTCCTGTTATATGCTGTTCAATTATATACATTATTTTTTCAACTGTTCTGGTCTTTCATATCAATATACCAACTACCAGATTTCTACCTACCTTAAGTGTTCCTCAAGTTCCCATTCCCATGTCTGGATATCACACCCACTGTTTGGACAAGGTATAACTCCTAATCTCTTTTGCATTTCCACATTATCTTCAGGTATATCAGGTCTGTACATAACATAAAATATATTAAACATCAAACTAGCAACAGACCATACTTATGTCAACATCATCAATATACAAATCTGAAGTTATTTGCCTCTGAATTTCCTCAACATATTTCTACAATAAGGAAAGATGGATTAATATAGTGAAATATCTTCATTTCATTCTATAACCAAAAGCTTCATATTTTCAGCCTAAGCTAAATTGGATTGCATATCAAAACATAATCCAATTTTCCTACATAAATCCCACAAGAAAGGCATACAACAAATTCCTTGTTCAAAGACATTATTCACCTGTCAACTGGAAATGCATCTTCCCTCTGACAGGTTGGACATCTTGAAAGACCTCTTCTTCTTTTCCCAACTTCATTGTAAAGGCACTCTTCACATACTCTATGTTGACAACTGCCATATACCATACGTAACTTTGGATTCCAGCAAATTATACAGTTAAACCTAGGAGTACAGTTAAAGAAGTTATAAACCAAGTTTCAGAGCATATAAAACAATGACTTTATGGAAGTGATTCCTTTAAATATGCTTAAAGAGAAGGACAAGGATATGTTCAGTTAATGACTAAAAAATGCATTAATACAAACGCATGACAAAACTGTGGGCACTGCAAAAGTACTTGAAATAGTATAAATAAATTTAAATCATTAGTTTTGTGTTTGTGAATCAACAAGGGTCTCCAGTGAAGTTTTCATAATATAATTTATTCATTAAAATAACCGTTTGTAATAGCATTCTAATGACTTATTGCAAATTTAATCACAATCCATTTTAAATTAGAAATGAAAATTGAAATACTGATTTGAAAGCAGCCTGTTGAAACTTGAAAGCTAAGCGAAGACATCTATGCATCAAAGTTCATGAGCATTCAAATTGCCATGTTATTTTTGTGGGATATTATCTTTAATAAAACTGCAGCAGAGCTCTTTGAGAGATGCACTTCGAACAAATTGCAGATAGGTGTAAGTGAAAATATGGCGACAACAAAGATGAGGGCGCCATGTTCTCCGCGTCTCTTTAAACAGGAAGGTTTTACACCAGCTTAGGAACACAAAGTACACTGGACGAACATAAGTGTGAATATTTGTAACGGGAAATGATATAGAAATATTAAATGCATACCTTTGCTCGTAGCTAGCCTGCGCGGCCGTTAGAGCGAACAAATTTGTGGACATCTTTACCATCCCCAAAGGTCACGCTCATGTCATAGCGCAGCTGCCGTTTTTCGTCATTTGGCGCGACTTTGTCACATGACTGAATTTCTTCAAAATGATTGGATTAAGCCGGTTTTAAATCCCCGGATGTAAACAAAAGCACGTGCGTGGAACTATTAAGTTTCTTTTATGCTACATCTTCCACTTGTCTGAACCCATGTATTCTTCCGGGTATAGTGACCCATTTTTTTTTTTTTTGCATCAAATTGAAGTTTTGTAAGGCTCTGTTTAGTGTAGAGGTCTATATCAATTTGGCTGTTTGTAGATAAATTTTTTAAACTTATTTCACGTTTCACATGCTCCTGTTGTATCATGCAGCAAACAGGAATACCAGGTAGAATACTAACATGAAATGTTGAAGAACTAAATAAAGCACTCGTTGTCATAATGTTTAAATCATAAAGATGTCAGCTCAGAAACGTCAAGCTTGTTCTGTAGAGTAGCACGCCCCTGTGAAAAAATGTCTATAAACCGAATGATGATGCATAACATCAGTTCCATAATTAAGAAGCAGAAATTTTTATCAAATCAAAAAGCCCTACGTTAATTTTTCCTTTTTTTTAATTATCAGTTGTTGTTGTAATCTGAATTTGTTTTATGGGTACCATAAGAATTTATAATCATCCACACCATACCCGACATTCAGTCCCTGGTATTCCTTTCATAATGTTTTTGGCCTTTAATAACTAGAGGATCAGAGAGGCAATACCGCCTCCGAATATTGTACCACCAGCTGGAGCAAGCGCATTCGTATAGACCCCCACATATACAAAATAAGGAACACAGCCACCAGTCTTGTGCTTGACAAGCTGTAAAAATGCAATCAACAAGAATTTTCAAAATATGCAAAAAATATATATATAACTAAAAATGGTACAATCAAAGTTCATCGTAAGGTAGGTCAAAGGTCAATTCCAAGGTCACAGTAAATTGCCAGTATATGACTTCCTATTCAACTTCAATAGTAACTATGGGCCTATCTCTGCCAGGTTTGGAGTTAAAAGAGAAAGAAATTAGCAGAGTTCAGTTCATGGTGAAAAGTAGGNAATAATTTATTCTTCTTGGAAGCAAAATTTTACAGATAGTGTAATTATTTCAGACTCTATTAAAGCTAACTATTATAACAGAACTACAACTAAAAAGACAAATCTCCCTTTTCGAGGTTTTTCAACATAGACCCTTGCCGTTTTTGTTAAAATAATAAAAAAGAGTAAACTGAGCCAGTTTGCATCAATTAATTTTACTCATTCACAGTTACATTATGGGAAGGGTAAGTTATCAGCAAAAGTACAAACAGCAATTTTCACATTGGCTACATCACAAGCAATGGTCTTCATCAGAAGACTTGCCCTTGAAATGCTTAATTTACTTGATGTTTAGTATTTATTACATATTGCCCACTTTCTAATATGCCAAAATTTAACTACTGAAGAATATAACCAGTGGCGGATTTAGAGGGGGGTCCAGGAAGGTCCTGACCCCCCCTTTGATTTCTGAAAAATATATCACACCAATATTCCCCTCTTGAAATTAGAATTTTGACTAGCTAAATCATAGTTCTAAACTGTACCAAAGGACACTGTTTGCTCTCCAGAAAACCAAAAAATATTCGGGGCCCTTGAGCAGGCCCCAAACCCCACACCAAGGGGGCGATGGTCGGCTTTGCATCTGAGGTCTGTCGATCCAGACCCCGCTTCAAATAATTCTGGATCTGCCCCCGAGTATAAGAAACGTTGCCAATGCCTTTCATTCAACTTTTTCCATTTTAAACACATATTCAAATTCCCAGCATAAGAAAAAATAAATTGGCTCCGATTTTGATTTCTTACAAATTTTATACTTCTCATTCGACTTTTTTTCCATTTTAAACGCATATTCAAATTCCCAGCATAAGAATAAATAAATTGGCTCTGATTTTGATTTCTTACAAATTTTATACTCCTCCCATTTGAAGCAATACAGGATATTTACAAATCACATTTTATCAACTTAGAAATAATATTGGGAAGGAATGTCAGAAAGAGAGAGACCATCCGGTTTTTAGACATATTCTTGCTTTGGAGTATTTTCAACTTTCTGAAGATCATAACACAGGTGCTGTAATATTTGGTTTATTGCTACCAGTATACCCTGATTGTTCATGTTGTATTTAATTGCTACTTATTTTTGCAGAAGCTTCAAACCCCATGTGGATGCCTGTAAAAGAGCCTGAATTTAACAGTTACTGTATATGGTTATGATGGTGAAAAACACTGCTGAAGTGGTAGAATGCACAACTGATATCCAAATAAATTAAGATAGTTGCACACTAAATGACTGTTTTAAAGGCAAATAATCAATATATTTCTAAAAAAAGGCATGTGAAATCCAGACTGAAAAGACTTTTATCTTTCACTTAACCTCCTTTCAATCACAAGCCCAATTCACATGCATTTAGCTAAGCACAGAAATGTGTTCAATTCCATGCATACTCATTCCCATGAGCAAAGAAAGTCATTTAAAGTAATTCCATTTTTGTATTTGTACTCAGTGGAAATCAAGTGCAAAATCACTTTTGTTGTACTGCACATATTGTGTCTCTATATAATCACTTATGCTTGTAGAAACTTCTCATGTGGATAGTGTGACAATCTCTATGTAGAGTCTTATACAAGTATCACTCCAACACACATTAAGCATCAATATAAGGCTTCAGGTTCGTAGCCAGGGGGGGTTCAGGGGGTTCGAAAGAACCGCCCCTTTAGCTGGGAAAAGGTCCACTCTGGGTAAAATTTGATCTAGGTACATGAAGTTTTTATGGAAAAAGGTCCACTTTTTTCAGAAAAAGAACCCACCCTTTTGAAATTGCTGGCTACGGGCCTGTAAGCATAATTTTAATATATAATCCAACAAATACTGCTATGGAAGTCATTGGCCATTCTGTTTTTCTGGATTAAACAACGCAGCCAGGCCCTCTGGACTTGGAGGTGAGGGCTTCTTTCTCTTAAAAACAGGCGGTAGATTCTTTATGTTTGTGTCCTTTCTAAACTGCTGGCCAATATTTTGCTGAAATGTAATGTCCATTTCATGTCATTTTAAACTTTCAAAATCATAAATCAAATTCATATATATTTATTTATGAAACAATGATCTGCCAACTTTTGAAAGTTTAATCACTTAAACAATATTACGAATTTTCAGCTTCTCTTAGTTCCACTATTTAATTTGGATAGTTATTCACAAACTTACCCCAATTATTCCAGACACTAGCTTTTTAAAGGCATCTTTCTTCCTTTTTTCGCTTGCTTGTTTTTGCTTTGTATTTGACAGAAATTTATCATCAAAGTCCTGCAAAAGGAATTTTTTTTACAACCTAGCAACATCTTGTTCAATACATGTGGCACACATTAAAGGAAATGTTAAACTATCAATACATCAAGTTTCATTACAGAAAAACTGTCATTAACACTATTCTGCATCTATCCACTTACCTTTATTGACTCTGGAGTGACCTGGGGCACTTGTTCCAATATGCTGGTGACACCAGGATAAGATGGCCTCTAATAGACATCAAATAGTATGAACAAATATTAATTCAATCTCCAAAGAAGCAAAAAAATAATAATAAAACACAAATACAAAGTTGCTATAGTTCAAAGATTACCAGCAATATAAAGTGATATTGCTTGGGTATATGTTACACTACAGATTTATCTAACTTTTTGGTTGAAAATTTAAAGTGCACTGACAGAGTTCTATGTGTTTTGACTGCTGCTTGTGTAAGAAAACAGCTGATTATGTCTGGTGTGACTTACCAATGCTTCATATGCCTGGAGCCCTAAGCCTATCAAGTGTGACTGACAAGCTTCATGCTCACCATGGATCTGCAAAGCAGTTAAGACTCTGTGGAACAGAAACTTAGCATCTTCCCCTGATAATGTCTTATCTCCCACCAACTGAAATAAACCAAATGTTGAATAAAATACACAAATAAAAAGGAACATTAAAGAGATTGCAAAATAAACTTGGATATGACATTAAAATCCAAAAGTTGTTTTATTTGAAAACAACCAAAAGTAAAAGGAAATTGGCACTACTCTCACTTATGTTCAGTGAAGACATTCATTCTGTAAGTATTTGAAAAAAATCCTTGATCCCATCCAAAATGATGATAAAAACATTCAAATACTCATGACTTAATATCATAATGAAGTATATTTTTCAAGAATTATTCTTAATTGTTAAGAAGAATTAAGTAGCTTTTTTACAATTAAACAATCTCTATAAATAATAAATTATCTAAATTACAAACTTAAATGTGTCACCTGTTTTAGTAATGGCCATGCGCAATTGATACACTTGTTGCAGGTATTGGTGTCACGCCATGTCAGACCTGTGAAAACACACAGCACCACCTGGGACCAGATTGCCTGAAAATGACAATTGATGACTTAAATGTTTCATTAAAATCCACTTTTTCTGATTTGGTGCAATTTTTATAAACACTTAATGAGTTGTAGACAGTGTGCTGTCATCAAATTAGAGTGAATACTCAAATAACTGTAATGCTTAGATTATCCAAATATTACAATTTGATTTTAATGATGCATTATCCTCATCAAAATTGAGATCAGATTCTCTTCACTTATTTGTGTTCCAATAACACCAACTATCACGACTGTTCTTTTTAATATTTTCTCTTATCTATACCATAACTTCTTACACTTACACTAGATTTGAGCACCAACATCCCTAGCTCACTGACTCCCTCTTCCTTACTGCTTGTCTGTGGCTCATCCTCCTCCATTGTGCTATCATCAGATGGTTCAAAACGGCGGGGAAGACATATGCAAGCTTTTAAATTAAGAAAAATATTTTTTTAAAGCTATGTTTATACAACATAAAAATTATAAATCAATTTAAAATGTGCAAATGTCATCTTTCAACAATATTTTGAAGAAATTTGCACTTGTATAATCACAGTGTTAAAGAAACCAAAGGATGATAAATAAACAAACAAACAAAAAAAAAAAAATAAACAAATAAATAAATAAATAAATAAATTCAAAAATAATAATACTGGCCTACCTATCAGATCTATATATATGTGGAGATTAACTTTGTTAATCTGATTTAAACGCATCACACAATGCCCACTGCCTAGAAAGTTGCGGGAGACTCTGCAGTGCCACCTGTGGCAGCACCAGCCGCATTTAATTTCATCATCTTGAACAGTGCAGTGCTGCATGCTTTCTGCTTATGGCTTAATTAATTTTAATTTGGTTTTGGCTTGTACTATTTTTTAATTATGGACAGCTGTACAGAATTAGTGGAGTGGGCCAAGAAGGCAGAGCTGAATGATGAGACACTTTCTCTCCTGCGAGAGAATGCTTTCAAAAGCATGAAAGCCATTAAAATGCTCAACAGTGCCAATACCAGCAAATTCTTAGGAAAATCCCTCTCCCTTGGGCAGCTGTTGCTGCTACAGGGAGCCACTGATGAGTTGAAAGAGTCAGCGGAGCCACCTCCAATCACAGAGCCTGCACTGACCAAACCCCAGTCCATATCATCAGGAACGCACAATCAAAAAGCTTCAAAGCAGCCTCTGGATGTCACGAATCTGCACTCCATTTTAGCCAAAGATGCACCTAAGCCAGAACAGGGTAAGTCTTCATACGTTTTTGACCCTTTCGCCATAGCCGCAACCAACAATGACAACAAGTGTAGAAACATGCGTGACTATATCACCAAGTTTCAACAAACTAAATCAAAAGTTAAATTAGCCGACTTTGAACTTTTACTGCCCGAGACAACACCAAAACTAGAAGCTGTAATGCACCTGCAGTATATGGAGGCAAATCTTAAGATCATGAGAGAAATGGTGACCGACGAAGGATATATGCAGCAAGAAATGATGGACTACACTGGTTACCTCATAAAAATAGTGCATATGGGCCAACGTCCTAAAGTACCACCGAGAGTACTGTAAAGTCAAAGCAGCAGCCAACTTTCGATAATGCCTAATATATGATGCAGGTGTTCCTGCGCGAGGACAGCAAGTCGATCAGAAGTGAACAGCCCAGACCACAAGAGGGAGAAGCACGCAATAACAAGTTTGATCCATCATCAGGTCACATTGTCTGTGATCGTTAAAAAAATTAATAAATAAGATAATAACAATAATAATACTGGCCTACCTATCAGATCTATATATTCTCTAGTCAACTGTCTGGTCAGCTGGTCCTCCACCACCTCTTGGGACTCAGGGTTGTCATCTTCCTCCTGTCTAGTGAAAAAAACTTGAGGTTCACACCATTTCATGATCAACATATTTCTCCATCACAACATCATGAAGAAACACTGAATGAGCACAAATTCAACTAATGAAAGAAAATAGTGATACCTCTGAATATCAAATAGATGGTAACAAAATTACCAGGGATTAATGAACATTGGTTATTACTCACAAAAATTCCAATAAGTAATTAATGCAGAATGTCAAATCTAACCTAAATTTATAAAATTTAAAAGTGACTTTGATTCATGCCAGAAAGAAAATTTTGCGTGAGAAACAAAAAATTAAAAATGAAGGCTGAAATTTGTGTATAAATAACCTACTTACTGTTCTTCAGCTCTTTGGTGGATAGTGTGCCATCTCTCTTCTAATCTCTGATAAACAAAAAAAGTTTAATTTTACTGATTTAGGTGCAGTACCTGCAGTGCAGCAAAGCCTGTATACACATCATATATTTAATCTTTTCTTTCTTTCTCTGACAAGTTGCTAACCAAGATGATTTCCAGACTTTAAGCTTGTTAATTTTGCATTAAATAACTTACTTTTTGAAACTTCGTGATCATAAGAGATTACCTAAAATACAACATCAAATGTCAATATAATGATTATTTTACGACATCAAAATAAAACGTCATTACCTGCATCATGAATGGTGCCAAGGTTTCCAGCAATGGTATAATTGCTGCAGTATAAAACCCTTCTTCCTTTGGACAGCAGTGAATATATGGCTTCAGGAATACACGTAACATACAATTAAGGAATTGTAAAAGCAAATGTAATGAAGGAAAAGATTCATTTCCAGATATCATAGAAATATAAACCCTGCTCACCAATGACCACACCTCTTTTACTCAACACAGTTAAAAAGGATATGAATGATGGGTCTAAGTCTGTAATCTGGAACAACTTCTAAGTTGTGGAAGACATGACTTATAATAGATTGTGCCAAGTCAGGCATTCTGTAGAATTCATAGCCAAGACTGCTACAGCAATTGCCCAAGATGTGATAGCTGAAAATTAAGGATAAAAATTCAATATAATCATATGTTCCTCCACTAGAATGTAATGAAGGGAGAATATGAGAAGCTAAATGCATTATCCAAACTTTTGTGAGAGATATTTCAAAAATATTAAATTCCTACAACAAAAATTAAGGTGAAGTCCTTCCACATGAAAGACACCAATTCCATATTTTCAATATTTTTAACATTTTTGTCCCTCTTTTTATTGCCTTATTCTTGTTGTACAAACGTGATATTGAATTGGGAATGAGACAGATAAAAAGGTTATTCAGATGTGATGATTCAAAATAAGTCTTACGAATTATCATGTGCTGAGTTGATGAACCCCTGCATCCTCTTGAGTGGATCTTTAGAAGCTGCATTATCTGTATTATCTATAAAAGGTGGTTGGATTCCTGGAAAAATAATGTCAGTTGTCTTTCTCTTTCATTCGTCCTCTTAATCCAATATTACATGATTTAAGATGTACATGTACTGTAGGTAACTATTTTTACTAGAATTTAAAACATGAATACTGTTTTAAGCAGAGATACAATACAAATATAAAAGATAATTTTAATATGACTGAGCACAAAGAGTGTGTTTTTAAATCACTTATTACCTAGCAAAATCAACTTTTCAGTTTCTTGCAGATCATAGGCCTTGTAAAACTCCGGATGCCGCTTTGAAGAATACTGAGGGAACCACAGCTCATTGAAAACCCTGAAATAGATACAAAATAACTGTATGTCTAAGCTACTGATACATTATAATCATTTACTAATTTAAATTTAGGGCCTTAACAAAGATAAAAGATAACACTTTAATAATATGGCCAGTGTTTTATGTCAGCCTACACAGTTGCACATAATACTGGGTTATAATTATTTTATATTATATATATTTACCTGAGCAGGGCCAGTAGGTTGACCAGCAGTGGTAGAATGTGTGCCGTAGCAGGGTTCCTGTAAGCAGGAGCACCTGCTGCTGTCTCACACAACACAAACCCACCACTGGCAGCTACCTGAAACATGTAGTGTAAGCTTTTATATTCTAATGTTATTGTTGTAAGTTCATTAATAAATTTTAATTACAAATTAAAGCAAAAATAAAGTCTTCCATTTTTTCAATTTTTTACATAAATCACTCTTAATTATCCACAAAAACTTTTTTGCTTCTTCTTGCTGAGATATTATTAATGAAGCAGTGACAACACTGTCAATTTTGTTTGAATTTTACCATGATATCAACCTGATTTATTCAATATACCAGATGTCTTCATTGGAATTGTTACCTAGAAGAAACATCAGTTTTCTTGCACAGTTTTGTCTCCGATTCTTTTGCATCATATTCCACTTTAGGTCTGTACAAATATTAATACTTTTCAACAATGCCCTGCAACAAATTGCACACTGTAACACCTGACACACTGAAGAATATCTCAGCAATCTTCACAACTGTCACACCTAACACATCACTGTTACCTCACTCTTAGCAGGACATGTGCTTCGTTTCAGGACGGCAAGGATTGTGGATATGCAGTAAAGAATCTGCAAAAGAAAGTGAAAATATTTAATAAGCAATAATATTCATCAGCCCGGTATAAATACAGTCGTCCAGAGACTATTATTTGTACCCAAAGCACTTATGAAGCTTACATGTTAGCTTACTGTTCTGAGTATGACTCACTTTACATAGCGGGGTTGGGTAGACAGCTAAAAACTACAATCAATGAGCATAAGAAATCAGTTATTGCAGAACATTACATTAAGAAGCCAGAACATTCACTGGGATTCCATCTTTTTTATGAGGCATGAGGGAAAGTCTGAACATACAAACTTACATGTGACCTGTTAATGCCACAAGTATCAGCTGAGCTGGGTTCTACTGGTGCCCTGTCTATTCCTATGTAGGACATGAATTTTTCTGTAGACCAAAAGGCTCTAAAAAGGAGAATAAAAATAAAGAGATTAAAACCTTAACTATCATGAAAAAAAAGGTTGCTAAATAATATCATAAAAATGTGAAAAAAAAAGAAGACTTGTACAATGAAGAAAGTTTTTTTGTTGTTGTTGTTGTTTGTTTTGTTCAGTACAAATACTGAAGGGTGTAAGTAAAAGTTAAGTGTTTTGGTAAGAAAAACTGTGATAACAACATTTACCCCACTAAGTAATCTTTGAGGAAAATACCATTTACTCTGTCACAATATCAGGCTTCCAACAAGACAATATTTAAGATGTGTAGCTCTTTGTTTGCTATGAACAACTGAATTACATGTAAAATTGAAAATCCACAAAAATAGAAAGATTTGTTAATGCATGTTCCTTACTCTCTGAAATCCTGTGATAGCCACATTTCCCTTACTGGTGCCAAGATGTCAGCTAGAAATGCAGACTGCTTGTCATAGTTCTTGAACTCATTACTAAAAATATAACAAATTATTAATTTTCTTTTTAAAATTCAATATTAATTCTTGTAATGATTAATAATCAAAGGGGCATAATACTTATTTTAACATAATTTCAAATACAATCATGATACTTATACTTCAAATGAGATCCATCACCTATTTTATTAGTTTAGTTCAACATCATTTTTGCAGACATGTCTCAGAAAACATGCCTATGACATAGTACATGATGACAAGAAACATTATTTGCATATTGACTTATCAGTTCAAGGTATTGAATGTTATGATACCTTATAAGGATAAGAGATTCCATGAGTGTACATTTTTCCATTTGTGAAAGCTGGGCAGGATCATCACTGAGTTTCTTGATATGTGTGTACAACTGGTCAAAGCCAGGCTAACAAATTGAAACATATACAAAACCACGTCTGAATATCCCATTAAGTTAGATTTATTCAACTAATATTATCTGCACTAAACTTTGGTCTTATCCAGGTGTAATTATTACTGTCTGCACAGAATATCAATAGAATATAAGTTTGCATGTATATAATATCAATGGTTTGCCAAAAGTAACAGAAGCACTTGAAATTCTTCATCAACTTGAACATGGTCTACTTTTATGCTAATTACAATAAAAAAAAAACTTACAAGCAGTAGTTCTGGGAATTGCTTACATATCTTCACCAGGCTTGAGCACGCATGTCGCCGAACATTTTTGACAGCTCGGCTCCTGGTGGCCTTGGTCTGACATCCCAGGTTAAACAACACCGTGGTGAATATCTAGCAATGTACAATATAGGCACTGATATCGGTTATTACTTCTTTCTTTTTTTCTCTTATTCTTCTTTTCAATAAAAAATAATTTTTTTCTTTTGCACTAATTTTGAGTGAAAAGACAAATCTGAAAAAACTTGCAATATTGGGTCTTACTTTGTCCAACACTGTAGGCAGTGTATCTGGCGCATATGTGATGTAGGTGAACAGTGCAGAAATGCATGACAGCAAACAAGACAAAATAAGGGGATCCTGCAAGAGGAAAAAAATACTGAGATATTAAATTACATTTTGGGTCATTATAATTTTTGTTGAGGTGGTAATATCACTTGCCATAGCAGATAAAGGAAATAAACCAAACAAAAATAAACATTATCCAAACTACAGACTGCACAAAGAAATGGCAGACAATTGGTAACACATTTCTTCACTCAAAATATATTTATCTCACCAAACCTATAAAAGCACATACCTGGGTCTGGTAGTTGAGCACTGCCTTAAACAGTTGTATGCCATCCGTGACAGGGGGTTGTGGGTGAGGACTGGACTTCAGACGGGACATGACACTCTCCAACATGGCAACCAGGGCATCCCACTCCAGAAAGGCAGGGGAGCTGAGATTACAGTGCCCTGTCTCTGGGCCTGGGATGAAGAAAGAAAATCCAATATTGCATGGACTTTTCTCCACTGTATCTATATTGTACACAGGACAACTGATTTGTCTTTGCACTTCAAACAGAGGAGGTCCAGGGGGCCACCTAAGTCAATGATATTTTTGTCTCCAAAAAAGTCTGAAATCTGCTGATAGTAGGAAAAATCTCATCCCTGCACAAGTAAGATGTTATTTGGAAACAATGACTTGCTCGTTTCAACACACAGAAAGAAACAAAATGTGCAAAATTAAACTCACCATCTCCAAGATCTAAAGGTTTCTGAAGCAGTGTTTGGAGCCAGCAACTGGTATACTGAAAGGTTACATCAGGAGCAATCAATGTCACCAACCTCAGTGTTTCGACTACTTCTGCCCTATATCCTGAAAAACATTTTCCTCCCTTGGTAATTATTGAATTTAATACAGGTGTAACACTAAAAGCAACTTTAAAAGTAACTTTAAAAGGCTAATCAATAGAGTTGAAAAACAAGTTTTATCAACATACAAGGGTAAAACTGAATATTTCTGAATAAATAATGAAAATGATGAGACTATATCATCATGTTTGTAAACTTAACAGCTTGTTTAGCAATGGGTCGATCGAATATGAACCAGCATCAACCCAACAGATGTAATAGGGCAGGTTGCAAGGTGCATCATATGAGGAAAACTGTATGTGGGGGTGTTGGGGGATTATTACAGCTTGTAAACTGTAAAATGATGTGAGGTAGTGTGTTAGTTGTTCCTTACTGGAGAAGAACACATTGAAGTCCTCATCACAGTCAAAATCCAATCTTGCATAATCACAGCTGGGGTGGTTCCTGTGAGAAGGAAAGCCAACCTGAGAACAAAACGACAAAATTTTATCAAACATTTTTGTAAGTTAAATTTTTGGTTTAACACAATTACTTCTGAAACAAATAAAAGAACTCGTAATACATGAATTTATCCTTTGACAAGAAAACTGAACCCCAGGTATGTTATGATACGATATGATGAGTTATATATGTTAATTAACATGTTTTGCACTTTTTAAATAATCAATGCCAACAATAAAGTGAAATGTTTCATCCACAGCATCTATGAATTGAACTGAATTGCTGAATATTTTGAAGAAATAATTTTGCCTTTGGTACAAACTCAATGTACTAGTATTGAATCATAGAGCCTCACAAGTACCTTCATTAGAGCTTGGGAAGATATACTCAGGATCTTGTCTATTGTGGCCACCATTACAGGATCCTTGGAGATGTGTTCATGCTTCAGGAATGATGCAAGCAAGGAGTGTGTGTAGCTGCCAAGCATCTGGAATTCAATAAAAATAGCTTTACCATATCAGAAAATTTCATCAGCTGTGTTACGTACTAAGAATAAGGTATTATTTTTGTTCAATCAGTAGCTAATTACTGAAATTCATAACTCCAATATTTTGCTGTCAATCTAGAGCTTATTCATCAGGGAATGGGGCCAACCTGGTGAATGGCCTGCAATTGTTACACAGGTTTTTGTTTTGTTTGCTTTTAAGGTACTTAACATCAACCAAAAGTAAAATCCCATGTCATCAACAGTCTAATAAACACCACTGAAAAGGAGATTAATGGCTAATAGCTACTTCTTTAAAAAGCAAATAAACAAAGTAATAATAATAAATAAATAAATAAATAAATTAACAATTTTTTTCTGGTCATAACAAATTTCAGTAAATATCCGACTACCTGACTGGGGTGTTGAGTCAGTGCAAGAATTGCTTCTAGATACTTTCCAAAGTTTTCTGGTTGGCCAATATCATCACTGGAACCCTAAAAATAATCACCACAAAAACCTGGATTTACACGGGACAAAAAAACTTTCTTTAATTAGGAAAAGAGACAGAGTCCAGAATGATTCTTTAAAAATGGGTGTTACTAATATAATACATTTCAAAAACAAAGTTACAATTCAAAGAAACCTTGTTCTGTAGAAGACAGATATATCTACATGGCATCATCATGAACTTACATACCCATAAAGCACAGAGTTGGGTTCCAATTCCTGTCAAAACTTGGCATAATTTCTTAAGGAACTGATAGTAGTATTCATTCAGTGATACATGTAAGGCTGCCCTAAAATATTAGTTATCATAAAACTTGCATAGATTATGATCTTATATCCCTAAATTTGAGGTTTGATATTGATCAGCCAAAAACTAAAATGGTTTAAGAAATTATCACAAGATTCTAAAATGCACTTCTCATAAATACTAAAGTCACCTTACTTACAATATGGTCTCTTAAATAAACAATGATATTGTGATGTTCAAGTATTTGTCGTTCAAGTACAATTAGCTGATGTTTTACATCAGTTGAAAAGGTCTGCAGAATTTATATATGTTCTTACTGCATCATATGTGTACAAATATTCAAATGACTTACTGTGCTGCACTTAATATTGTACTCATAGCACCTTCACTGAATAAAGCTAATAATGGCTTTCTGTCTTCCAGTTTACCCTGCAAGACAAAATTATCAAATGCCAACAAAGATATCCGGCATGTTTTGCATTAATATTTTTCTTAACTTCATTTTGCTTTACTTTTTCATATTATTAAACTCTGGGCCTTCAAACATCTCTTTATCTCCTATACAACAAAAAGTGGTTGAAATGGCGACAGCCCTCAAGCCCAGACATATGTCAGAAGAATGCAAAACAATGCTACTGTAACAGCTATGGTATCCAAGTCACCCCCATTTTCACCGTGCTGATCAACATTACCTTTCTATTCACTATGATCAGGAGGCATTCCGCAGCATGTAACTGCAGACTGGAATCACTGAGCAGCAGACACAGATATTGTAATAGCAGCATGTCATTGTTAGCAAAGACCAGAGACCAGCTGATCCAGTCCAGGTACCCAGTCAGAGCCATCAGGACTGCTTGAGCCACCTTACAGTGCACCAATAACTCTGGATTATCGGGGGAAGAGCCATCCTGACAATCCAAAAACATACACTTTGCTTTATTATTCAATATATGATTTGATGGGAACTAGAATATTGTAAATTATACCTCTTTCCTCATTTTCTATTAGTTGCCAAGAATTGGTGTTAACATAGAATATAGCTATGCTGTGATGGGGTATATCCAAAATTCTTGTCTTTTCACTCAAAACAATGATCATCATTAAGGACTATGAAGGGAATGGTAGACACTTTGCAGATATTTAGTCAATATCAGAGATAACATATTTAATAGATGTGGTCTTCAGGCCAGTATCATTATAATTAAATCATACACAAAATTACGATGATGCAATTGATTTAGAAACACACATTTTGTAAATCTTTATATTTTGTGACATGCTCTTGTAATGCTGTCAACATAAAGCTGTAAATAGCGCTCATGTTTCCTGTCAGAGCCTGGTGGATCTCTCTTCTTCGCTGAGTCTGGAAATTTTGGAAAGCCACCACATCCTCTGCCAGCCTCAAGAAGATAAGGAGTACAAGTTCAACTTGAGTAGGCTGCAAAACAAAATAAAAATACCAAAATAAAAAATTGTCACAGATAAACATTGTATATTAATATCTTTAAACACAACTGAAAATGAGCATAACAAATAAGGGTTCTTATGGTCATCTTATTTTCAGCAAGTGTACTATTATAAATATAATTGAAATAATGATTAACAAAGGAATTCAAATGTACAGACCATTGCCTGCTTTAAAAATAGAAGAGGTAATACTATATCAAGCAACATCTACAGAAAAAATCTAGCAAACTGGTCAATTAAAACTGAGATCTTAACGCAAGAAAAGACACCAAATTAATGCTAGAAATAAAGTACACACACACATACACACAAATAAGTAAATATAAATAGTAATAATAAAAAAATGAAATTAACAAATAAATTAAATAATTAATTCTAAAAATTAACTCAGAATTTCTGATATGTTTCTAGCTGGAAGGTAATAATGATTCATGTTAGTTGAAATGAAGGCTGCGACAGTTTATCCCAATCTTACACTATCAATGTGCAATCACAGGCCATAAGTAATTGGACAGGCATTAAGTGTCAGTATACTAATAATTTAAACCAATTTTTGTTTCAGTTTTTCATTACCCCAATTTTACACAGAGTATCCAGTTCACTTAACAGTGTGGACCAGTGCTGAGGCCATTCTCTTTTAACCATCTCAACCACAATTCTGGACAGGACATTCTTTATGTGACTTTGTTCAGTAAGGATATCCTCACTTCCCTGCATGAGATAAAAAAAGACTTTTACTTTAAGGGAAGGGAACATGTTAACAATGCTGTGAACAATTACAGTCAAAAATTTAAGTTATTCTATAGATAGAGTGCACCCATAGTTATAAACTCATTAAATTTTAAATTAAGTTATATCCTAACAATTTGAAAAGTGAAATCTTCACTAGATTGAATAGTCTAATCAGAAGTAATTAGCTTACACTGGCAAGCAAAGCCATGACATTATCCTTTATAAAACTCTTCTCCTCTGGTGACATGGCATTCCAACGATACCTGAAAAGAATTTTATGTTTATAATATAGGTACAGTAAAGATTAATTGTTAAGCTATATCTAAAAAATATCCCATTTAACTTTTCTTAAATTTGGCTATTGATGATAAACTGAACATCATCAGCAGCAGCATCAAACATGTACGTATTTCAATACAAAAATTGTCAAGTATAACAGCTACTGTGATATCTTCACTTATCAGTCAAAACATTTACTATGCTGTCCCTGGATGATAACAAATAAACCACTGCCCATTTGTATTTAGAAAATCTCCACTGGAAGACATTAACTTACTATCTTTAAAACTAAGGATGGCCAGCATTCAAACTATTCAGCTTTATTGCCATAAATACATTGTACTATCACATTTCAGTCTGGTCATGGATTTACCATAAGCATATAATTTTAATTAATTTACAGTAAATGCAGAACCATGTGCACTGAGAAGACTGTCGACCCTTTATATACCATAACCTTAGGACTTACTTTACACAGTGTTCAATCAGCTGAAGACCAAAGTTTCTTATTACGTGTGGTTTATCCTTAGAAGCCAGTAGTAATCCACACTGAGCACAAAATGGTGAAGACTCTTTGAATTCTTCACATAGCTGAAAAGACGAGGAAGAGAATGACAAGTTTTGACAGGAGGAAGAACACCATAAGAATTGCAGTTACACACCAAGTTAATTTTTTTTACTAAATCTTTGTATTTTTTCTACTAAATCATTAACAGGTACTCATGAAAAAAGTTGACATTTCACATGCTGTGCTGAATTAAAAATGGATTTAGCTGCCAAGCAGAAAATGTGCGCACCTGCATCTGCTTAAAAGAACTGAATGTAATGATTAACCCCATAGCGCCGGGAACCGCACATATGCGGTTCATTTTAAAAAGTCCTCAGTGCCGGGAACCGCATATACGCGGTTTCTGTGTTTACATGCTTGTACTGTCCCCTGTCGTTTGTAACAATTCATACTTCTATCACAAGAATAACTTAATGTTAGTTTTTTGTTTACTACCGGCTTTTGAAAGACGTGTAGCGAGAATTAGATAATGAAAAAGCGATTTATTTCAACCATTGTCGAGACGCTAAGAAGTCAAAATGGCGACGAGAAGTCAGCAGAAATTATGGGTTGAGAAATGTTCTAGATTTGTTAGAAAATTCAGACTTCGGGGAAGCGTCCTTGATAGATTTTGATACTCCGATAACTTCAAAGATTATGTACCTTTGGCTAGTATGAGTTGTCAGAGAGCAGATTTGGACGTGGGGCTTGATTTATAAAAAACGCTGATGATACTAACGGCAGTAACCAAGCAGACGACAATAGTAATTGGAAGGGCTATATTGCTGATAAAATGACTGTAACCGTTCCGTGGCAAGTCAGGCTAAATGTTGCCTTGTGTGCTGTATCAACATGTCTTTTCCGGCTTGTGCATAAATACAAATGTCATATGTTACGTTGTACTGCATCAACATGTCTTTTCCTGCTTATGTATAAGTACAAATGACATATGTTTACTTGTGTGCTGCATCAACATATGTCTTTTCCTGCTTGTGTATTAATACAGATGTAATATGTTTACTAGTGCGCTGTATCAACATACTTTTCCTACTTGAGTATTAGTACAAATGCCACGTTTGCTTGTATTTTTATGATGCAATTTTTATTCACGAAAGTGTAATATTTGCTCATGACAATGTTTGTATTCTTGTATATGATTTGAGTGCAAAACAAAATTTTATGAGTATCCTGGTTCAGTTGATTAAAAAAAACTATAGAAAAACTTTTGAAAAAGGCACTTAAGTTACAATCTATTTGTAATTATAAACGTAATTAGGTGGAAGTCTTCCAGTCAGCTAGCCCGCCTGTATATTGTGCAACTAGCTAACGTGATGAAGGTTTTTAGGTACAGCACGCATCCCAGGAAATTTATTATAACTCAAAAACTAAATAAGACATCTTTCTGAAATTTTCTGACATTGTTTAAAACATATTTCGAGTGTTTATGAGAAAAATTCAACAAATTATTTGGTAAAGTGAAAAAGAATGTGCATGCTGAAATTAAAGTTTTGTTTTTTACTTCTCTTCGAGAAAAGCAAGTCTCATATTTAAACTCCTGCTATTTCTACCTAAGTTAACAAATATGAATAAAACTGATATGACTTTAAAGCTTACATTGTTGGCTTTCTAAAAATGTACAGTTCTTAGGTGTTTTCTAGACAAGTGAATACCTTATCATTGATTAAATGAGGCCGCCTGTAAAATTGAGTGCATCCGGGTAGAGGGCTCAGGACCAAGGGCACTTTCTAGGTCAGATGCCGTCAGGCGCTATGGGGTTAAACTAAGGATTATTGCTTTGAAATATATTTCAGGTTTGTACATGTCTGTAAGTATTTGTTACAATGTGAGTTGTCCACTGTTTGCAACATACAAGAGTGAAATTACGCTGAAAAATTCAAATCGCAGCTGAGAGACAATGTTATCTTGTATGTTGCATACAGTGGACCAGAGTATTTGTAACAGATTTAATTCCCCTTGGCGCTGGTACAGGCAAGCATATTTATAAAGGAAATATAAGTGCAATTATCCTATTGTTAATATAGCACCCTTCACGGGATCATTTGTATAGCAATTCATCTATTGGTCATAGCTAGACTGACATGCATCAATTAAAATTCTGAAGCAGTGGGACACATTGACCACCACTTATCATATATATAATTAAATAGTGGAATAATCCCTTATGGAACTTTCCTGTAGAATGTCCTATAAAAATTGGCCCTAAAGCCTTCGGCATCCAATAGGATCCCATAGGAAATTGCTCCAAAATCCTGTAAGGTCCTATAGGACACTCCAGGTGTCTTAAAAAAACCCTGCAGTAAATTGGCTCAAAATCCTTTAAAGTCCTACAGGATATGCATGTATGTCCTACACAGGAATCCTATTTGATGTCCAATAAAATTCCCAGAAAGGCCCATAGAGTCCTGTAGGATTACAATATTGTCCCCTAGAGTTGAATGGGAAATGTCTGTAAGGGATGTTAACACCACTTTAAATATGCTATTTGATATCCCAGGCATCCATTTAATTTTTCCATAAACACTGAAGATTCTGTTCTGTGAAAAAAAAATCGATTAAAGTGTAAATGCAATCCGCTAGTAGAAATAAGAAAGGCAACTGGTGCTTGAATTTAGCAGTGTTTTTATCTTAATTTTTTTCTTTTTTTATCACAAACACAAAGTACCTGGTGTGCCTTCAACCGATCATCACGCTCAACAGCCGGATTCATCACAGTTTCAACTGCCATGGCAAGTCTTGATGCAAACTGCAAAATCTCAGCTTCCATTTCATGCAGATTTAGCTGCTATTTATACAATTTAAGAAAAGGCTGCCTCTGCAATCTCACGGCTGGGGTCTGGATAAAATCCTGTGAGGCTGTGACAGAAGGCCTAACCTTTCATGCTTCCAATCTTATCTCTGTATAGGTGGCGTATTGTCAAAGAGGAGATCGCCGAAGAGATGGAAATATAATTTTCAAATTACCAATTGTAATTTTAATTTTATGTTATAGATGACTTACACTTTTGACAATCGTGTTTTATAGCAGTATCGATGATGTATTCGCTGTTAACGTTGCTTAATTAGCCTTTTAACGTCTTGAAGAAAGCGACCTCTTTTCTATAGCATAAAGCGTGTTCAGTGTTAGGTCCCTCGAAAGTTGGCTTATATGATAAAAGATAGACCGAGACGAAGTCTTGGTAAGTACAGGTGCGGAGCAAAACAGTTATACTGATTCAGTGACTGAGGCCAATGTTGCCACATTATTCGGCCTTATGATATCTTATGTGTTGCAAATATCCTAATTCTGGGGAAAATGTGTGTACCGTTTGTAATGAACATAAAGTAGGTATATCAGAAACATTTTGAAACTGACCAGAAAATTATAATACTTATATCTTCTGAAAGGTAATGCAAAAACCGGATGAAATCACTTGAAATTTTTTAAATATCCCTACAAGCAACAAAGATATTGACGTTTATTAACTGCAAAAATTCACCAAAAGTGTCCACACTCTTCAGCTTAAAACCTGTCACTAGTGACCAGCGGTGATCACTCAGCTGTAGCTGCAGCTCAAATTGCTGTGACCAATTAGGGCAATTATGGCTGTATGTTAATCTAATGACCCGGAAACAAACCCAAATTGGCGACCGCACAAGCACATGGCTGGGATGGCTTCCGTGCAGATCATGTACTATAAATATTGCGCATCAAATAAACTATACTTCGCATGGTTTAATTTTCATGATTTTTCTACATAATATTGCAAATTTCATAAACTTTATTCGTTATAAATTTCAAAAAATTGCAACTAGTGCTTAACTGACATTTTTGAGCATTTTGTCGAGACAAAACTTCAAACGCCCTGAACTGAAACTTCTCAAAGACTGCAACACGGGAAAATCACGTGATTTACAGCTTATTAGTACCACCAGCGTGTACGCTGGCGGTACTCATGGTTTTAGTCCCGATCCGTCTCATACAGCTCCGCCGGCTCCTGCGGCTCCGCAGTCGGGCGCCGGAAACAAGTCACCGTTACCGCTTCTCCTCCTAGACCGCAAGGACCTGTGTCCCCATCTCTTGGATTTAGGTCACATATAATCTCAACTTGAACCCCCTGGTTTTTTGTCTCTGTCGGTGCATTGGCCTGGGCGTGACGCTTGTTGAAACGCACCCTTGTCAAAATTTTTGAAAATTCAATGCTAAATATATCCCAAACCAAAGGAATTATGGGAAAAATTACTACAGAAGCCTGACCGAAAGTCATATGTGGAGATTCCAAATATGCCCTTGGATTTGACTTTTGACCTTTATTTCAAGGTCAGACAGGCCAAAATTTTCTAAAAATGGGAATTTTCTGCAAATAAATATTTGTTTGTGCCAATTTTTGGAAACTACACAGACTTAAGCTCTCCTATTATAGTGAGGAGTTACAATTAGGGACTCCTTTCATCTTCTGGAGTTTGGGGTCAATTGGTGCATTTTCAAGGGAGAAGCAGCCATTACATACCGAAACTGAAAACTTGCTCTAATTCTGGAATGGTAAATGCTAGAGACCTCTTGTTTATTGAATTTTGCAGAACTTGTCGAGTGCAATACTGGAAGTGGTGTCCATTTTTTTGTTTTCGATATGGTTTAGACGTTGCGCTTTATCAAAAATTACAATACACAGTGGGGAAAATAAATAGTGAAATACTCCAAAATAAGCAGAGATACTGTTGAACTGAGATACTGATAGTTACTGTTGAACTTGAATAGGAAGTCTTATACTGGTAATCTAACTGTGACCTTGACATTGACCTTTGACCTACTTGTCACCATGAACTGAACTTTGCAAATTTTCCAGCCCTTATATCTCGAAAACTAGCAGAGATACGCTCAAAGTTACTATTGAACTTGAATAGGGGGTCATATACTGGCAATCTTACTGTGACCTTGAAATTGACATTTGACCTACTTTTCACCATAAACTGAACTTTGCAAATTTTCTAGCCCTTATATTTCCAAAACTGGCAGAGATATGCTCAAAGTTACTGTTGAACTTGGATAGGGGGTCATATACTGGCAATCTTACTGTGACCTTGAATTTGACCTTCCACCTACTATTTATGATGAACTGCACTTTGCATGTTTCCTGGCCTCCATATCTCCAAAATTGGCAAAGAAATGTCCATAGTTACTATTGAACTTGTATTGGAAGTCATATACTGTTACCTTGAAATTGACCTTTGACCTACTTTTTCACCACAAACTGAACTTTGCATATTTTCTTGCCCCTCATATCTTCAAAACTAGCAGAGATCTGCCCAGTGTTGTCCCTTGGTTCAGGGGTCAAAACAGAATTTGGGCAGGACTGGCCAATACGGACCAGTGGACGTAAGAGGTACTGGTCCGTACCAAGAAGTACTGGTCCGTAAAATTTTACGTTAAAAATTAGTAGTTTCAAGCTACTAGATATAACGTAAACGCATACATGTTTAACATTCATTTTTATTTCTATATGATTATCTAAACACATTCATATTCCAGTCAGTTCCTTCAACTGTTTGTACACATCCTCCTCTGCTAGCTCATCATCATCATAATATGTAAAAAATAAAATGGATATATAAAAAATTATTATGAAATAAATATAACTTCTACATATATCCATATTTTAATCTTAAAGATTTAATTTAATTTTAATTGCTGGGGTTGAACGCGAAACGAAAAAAACTTCTCTCAAACTTTACTAGCCCGAACCAAAAAACACTAGCCCAATTTAAATAATTCATTTAAAAAAGTTTAAGCAGATGCTGTAAAGAGTTGTGGTACCATACTGTACTTTCTTATAAACCTTATTATAGAAGTAGAGCAAGTGAATAACAAAGTCAATCAGGTTAATTTCCAGTTGATGGGGTGGTAAAATTAATTAAAAATATATTCAATTCTTTTAATATTGAAAAAAATATTTTTTTAATTTGTAATACTGAGTATAGTTACCCTTACTTTTCATATTTTTATTATATCTTTTTTCCATTTTTTATATGCAATCAAAATCTTTTTTTAAATTCCTATTCTTTTTATTGACAATGGCTCTTTTCTGACAATTTATTTCCAATTACATTGGTATATAATGCCACTTCTAATTTAAAATACATAGGTGTTGTAAGGGTAATTAAACAAACGTCTTACAATTATTTTGGTAACAATTCTTTTGGTTATATATTTGTAAAAACAACTTTTCAAGGACTTTACCACGACAAAGTGTGGAGGGGTAGCCATGACATAAACTGAACTATCCCACATTGTCAAGAATAGTTCATAGGGTATTTATATAACAGCCATGTATTTACTCATGGACATTAAAATTATAAATAAAAAATATAAACAAAAAAGGAAATAAAATACTCCACCCCTCAGTCTGCTAAGTGGTCCTAACCTAAATGTTCTATGAGATAACGCATACATTACACTTGCTTCGGAGACAGTGTTGTTTTGACAAAACCTGTTGCTAGTACCAAAGAATTCCGGTCTGATCCAGTTTCTTGATTGGCAGCAATTTGTAGTCATGACAACAAACTGGTCAAATAAAAAGATGCCGACACGCTGATCAGACAGACTGCTACTATTAATAACTACAGTGAAGTTATTTATAGCAACTAATCAATATTCAGTAGTTTGAGCTAGGTGTGAGTTTTTTCAACTGAGAGGCATATCATACTATCTAGAAACGTCAAATTAGAGGCAGGGACAAAGAAGACTGGCGACTCATATTTTTGAAATCTTACTGAGTGTTAAAATAGGTTCAAAATTACAGATAGTGCTTAATAAAATTTCATCTTTTTTACTAGCCCGGTGCCACTTTAGGAGGGCAATTGCCTTGGGCTAGTGCTTAACGTCGCAGACTGTGGGTTTGGTAACGATGTTCGGCACTTTTCAGCGGTCGCCAAAACGGACCAGTACCCCTGACAGGTAGTCGCCCGGGACGTTTCTAAGTCGCATTGGCGAGTGGGCGACCGTCTGTTTCGACCCCTGTAGGTTTTCTCTTTTGTCAGTATGCAACACTGATAACACATTTTAAGGAAAAATAATATTCCTGTTTAGAAAATCACAGGAGTGATCAATGTTAGGAAAATACAAGTCAATTTGAACATCTGTTTAGTTGGACCGTTTTAACAGTTATGTTTTTTCAATTTTTTTTCTTTTTCTTTTTTTTTTTTTTTCTTTTTGCATATTTTGAAAACTCTTGTTTATTGCATTTTATAGAGCTTGTCAAGCAAAAGACTGGTGGTGGTGTCCCTTTTTTTTGAGGGGGGTTTCCATACAAATGCGCTTACTCCAGCTGGTGGTACAATATCCAGAGGCGGTATCACCTCTCTGATCCTCTAGTTTAGTTAATGGCTTGTATAAGTTTTTTTTTTACGCGGCGCTAAAAGAGAGATTTAAAAAAGGGGTGCCATAGGCGGGCTGTCAGCAGGCCGATATCAGTTTTACACTTCACTGCACTACTGTAGCGCCCCTAGCGGATTGTGATATACCTACATAAAGTAAAAGATGAATATAATTTTTATTGCGCAATTTATGAAAATCTCCGGCAAAAATGGTATGAAAAAGTAAAAAGGAGCAATTGTATCTTTCATGACCTGGAGGAGATTAAAGAGAGACCTCGATTATATAATATCTTCTTTCTGACCTAAAAGCAGTTACAGAGAAACCTGGCTGTGCTTCTGTGATAGTATGTGAAAAGCTCTCGAGGTCTCTCTTTAACCTCCTCCAGGTCATGAAAGATACAATTGCTCATTTTTACTTTTTCATACCATTGATAGTCTAGTTGCATATCATACACCCCACTTTCGCCTTAAAATAATGATTGAAGAGCTCGTACTGTAGCTGTCAATCATTTTCCTAAAAATGACATCTGGAGAAAGCCGATAGGTAGTGATGTTCAAAGAATTTAGAGTACTTTTAAGATTCATTAACTGATCAAGGTGACAGCAGAGCTTACCTATTTTGGATATTGTAGCCATGCAGAGCCAATTTGTCACAGCCAATAATTTGAACTACAACTTTATCATTAGCACGAAAATTCATGCATTAGCACTCCTATTGATGATTCTGATATGTACTGTCTGTGCTTACGCATGAAAGCAAAGGCCTCAAAAAGTTGGAAATGAAAACCAGTGGCTAAACCAGCAGCGGTGCAGCAGCTCTCAAATTTTTATTTTACATCTCATCTCCTTAACACGCACATAAATGTGAAGTCAACCAGTTTTCCCATCAACAGAGCTGCCACTTTGCTAATATCCAACTGTCTATCTACCAGTTTGACCGTTGTAAAATCATAAACCGGTTATAAACAGGCGAAAACCAGGTCAAATCTACTCAGGTCAACCCCCAGTAGCCTACTGCGCAAGGGCGGAAGTTGTGGTCCACATGCTGTGCTCGGCCAGAACGAGGAACGCTAGGCAAATCACCCGCTCTTTACGTTTCGGACACATTTCACTGAATTGATGAAAATGTAATCAGTGAAATTGAATTTTCAACCGTTTTTCATTCAAAATATATGTTTATATTGTCATGGATACATAGTGAAAATCAACTGGAAGACTCAGCCTTAAATAAATTCCGCTCATGCGCAGTAGGTTACTGGCCGTTGCATCATGACCTGAGTAGATTTGACCTGGTTTTCGTCTGTTTCAGCGGGTGTAAGATTTTACGACGGTCAAACTGATAGATAGACAGATGAATTTAAGGAAAGTGATACCTTAGTTGATGAGAAAACTGGTTGGCTTCCCAGTAATGTGCGTGTTGAGGAGATGAGATGTAAAATAAAAATTTGGTTCGGCAACTGGTTTTCATTTCCAACTTTTTGAGGCCTTTGCTTTCATGCGTTAGCAGACAGTAAATATCAGAATTGTCAATAGCGCATGAATTTTCGTGCTACTTCAAACGCTTATCATGAATTCTTGAAACTTGTTGGTGTGTCTTGACCTATACTTTTTCATGTGACCTTATATGGGTAAATTTGTTAAAATATTTTTTCAGGTTGGAATCCAGATAAAAAGCCAGGGTGTAAGCTGTCAGCAATGTTTAGATTGAAACAGGCTTTGTCTTCATCAGTTATTGGCACAGTACTAAAAGGCTGCAGTTTGAGGCCAAGGAAATTAGATGTCCACAATATTTATGAAAAAATAACTAAAGTGACTTGCACTCGCCTGATTCATTCAACAGGGGCTTGCAAGATAAAAAGTGATAAAACTTCTTCCATTGAGGGCATTTGTAAAGACATTATCTTTCCATCCCAGGAAGATAAAGCTTTGACTGTTCACGAATGGAAAGAAAAACTGAATGAAATAAGAACTGATGAAAAGATTTTGCAGGTGCTTGAAAATCAACGTGCAATGCAGCACATACAGGGAACTGTACATGTTATTGCTGGCACTATTTGCAAAAACAACCAATTCACAGATGGCATGGCTTCTTTAGTTCAATACTCGAGGAAACATTTGGAGTCTTCTCAGCATTTTGTCTTGCTGCAGTTGTACCTGTCTTTACTAGGAAGATTGGGTTTTAAAGAAAACCAGGAGCTTATCTATGAATTGTTTGATGAATACCTAGCACTTTGTGCTGAACTGAAGTTGCCTCCACAGCCTTACCACAAACATGTGGTTGAAGGATTATGTGCCACAGAGAGGTGGAGAGATTGCTTGGATATACTAACAAAAAAAGATTCATGTAATAGTCTTGTTGATATGTTTTCACCTCTGATAATTGCTGCATTTTCTGAAGAAGAATACAACATAGCATTAAAAATTTTGTCTTTATATGCTAACAGTGCCCACAGAAGAGGAGGATATGCTCCACCCCCAGATTTCTTTAAAAGAGTTCTTCAATTGGTGCAGAAACTTCATAGGCAGAGGGACAAAGACAACAGTTCAGACAGGCAGGCTGTGAAACAAAGTGAAATGATTGTTCAGGGCCTGTTGAGGAAGATGCATAGCCATTTATGGTGTTTACCAGAATCCTGCCTTGAGGAGATGAAGGATTGGTTTGAGGAGTGAGTACTAAGTATCATACAGCATTTACTCACTGTTATAATATATGTGCATCCCTATTACCTTCCTCATCATGAGATGATAAGTTTTTCAGTTAAGCTCACAGTTGAAGGAAAGCTAATGATATAATATCGTAATTATTATAGAGTACCAGGTGAAATGTTTCATTTCGCAAAAACTTTGTTTTAAACCACTCTTAATGATTTTAATATTGTCAATGAATTTTCCCGCCCAACACAGTTATTTTGAGGCTTCATGAGAGGTATACAGGCTTCATTGAAAAAGTTATTGTGGAATGTGCCTGTCAGGATTGAAAAAAAATGCTTGCCTATTTGGAAATAACTTTTTATGCACAGACACAATGTGTCTGTACATATAGCCATCACCTGCATCTGCCATTACCGTCGTTGTTGTGCACTTTTACCAATAACATGATAAGTGGAAAAATGTTTTACCTTTTGTCTTCAAACTTTTTGAACTGATGAATATTCAAAAAATACAGGTTGAGTACAAAAATCAGCAGGATCGGACCATTTTTTAAAAAAGTTATGCTGTTTTTCCTTTTTTTCAGTATATATACAACGCTGATAACACATTTCAAGGAAAAAATGATAGGCCTATTGTCTTGAAACTCACAGGTGTGATCAGTCTTAATATTACACAGGTTAAATTAAAAAATTAGATTGATCGTACCATTTTTAGAAAAGTTATGCAGTTTTTTCCCTTTCCTCAGCATATATATGCAACACTGATAACACATTTCAAGGAAAACCAATAGGCCCATTATTGGCTTGAAACTCAAGAAAGATCAGTCTTACTAAAATACAGATCAACTTGGAAAATCAACTTGATTGGTTTTGATGAAGTTATGCCTTTTTTGTATATGAGTAGTTTTTCCTCAGATTCTATTCTTCGGCATGTTAACAGTCTCATTTTTGAACTAATCAGACACGTAAAAGTGTGTTCTGCATCTTAACAACATTGTTAGTTGATAATATAAAAATTATGGTAAACCTGTTATTGTGTATTGTGTAATAAAGTGTCAAAAATAGAAATAAACTCATATCATTGCAGTTTGTCAAATTCAATCATTCACTATGTTCAGAATCTCAGGATGGAGTTAATTGGACATTTAAAATTGTTCTATTCATATTTTTTCCTATGTCAGCAATTTTCTTAGTAGACCATATGAAAATGACAGTAATTTGATTTTTTTGTTTTATGTGAAAAAAGTGTTGAAAATGGAAATAAACTCATTTCAGTACAGTTATATCTTGTTTACATTTTGGCATATTCAAGGTGTGACTTTGAACTTCCAAGGGCTTGGTGACCTTTGCAAATCACATTTTCTGAAAATCCATGTTTATATTTTATTAAAGATTCTTGGTTTTTGATAATGCTGTTAAGCATTATGTAATATTGCATCAGAATTGGAGAAAAAAAACTATTTTGGGCACTGCTGCCATAGTGACTATTGAAGAAAAACCATGTCTTTTCAAACTTACATCTTCCTGAGTTTGGGTCAATTGGTGCATTTTCACAGGAGAATCAGCCATTAGATGCCAAAACTGAAAACTTCTCTAATTCTAAAACCATATAGAGACCTCTTGCTTTGTGCATTTTACAGAGCTTGTCAAGCGCAACACTGGAGGTGGTGTCAATTTTTGTTTTCCATGTAGTTTACAAGTTGCGCTATATCAAAAAGTACAATATTCACTGGTGAAAATAAACTTATGGAACTGATGTACATTCATAAAATACAGGTCGAGTTCGAAAATCAGCATGATCGGGCCATTTTTTCAAAAGTTATACTGTTTTTCNTCGTGTTATCGGTAAAAGTGCACGGCGACGGCGACGACAGACGCAGGTGATGGCTATATGTACAGACACATCTGTGTCTGTACATAAAAAAGGATTATCAGTTTATCATTATAATGCCTTTAATATTGTTGTGGATGAATATTTTTACATATTTAGGATTTATGTTCTGTATTATAAGAAAAAGAATTAATTTCAAGTCTGTCAGTGTACTATTACGCAGTGCTAAATTTTGAAACTCAAATTAGTTCAATCAGTTAATGTGAAATACTTTCTTGTACCTGACTAGATAATTGTTAAATTTGTAAGGTAGAAAGTTCATCATTATGTGCTGCTTTCTGTATTTTATATGTTTTATTTCAGGATGAGCCAATGTCCCAATTGCAACCAACTAATCCATAGGCATCCAACGTACCACAAGGAGTATAAAGAACTGTTGCCTGGTGTTCTCACCAAAATAGAAAACTTAAAATCTAGCAACTTTTCAACAGATTTTTGCAAGTTCCTTGATTCAATTGGTCCAGTGGATCTTGTAGTAGATTACCTAAATATTTATGGCTGGGGAAAGGTAACTATCTACATGTTGGTATACTGGAACACAGTGGTTAAAATCCTTCCTTCTATAGAAGCATTCTTTTCTGTAAATTTCTACAATGTTTTATAAATAATATACAGATATATTATACATGCATACAGTTACAGAGACTGTATATAATTTGATCTCGTTCATATTGACAATGGCTGTTACCCCCATGCGTGATCTTGTTTACTATGATCTGTTATCAGTCAGAGTTGATATGATGAGTGTCTTGGTCAGCTAGTTTAGTTCAAAATTTTACTTGAATAACTAAGATTGAGATTGAATGAAAAACAAACTTTATTTCAGTTTCCCTATTTTTATTAGTACCACCAGCATATGCTGGCTCCGTAGTCTGGTGCCAGAAACAAGTCACCATTACTGCTTCTCCTCCTAGACCACAAGGGCTTGTATCCCCATCTCTTGGATTTATGTCACATATGTACAATGTAATCTCATCTTAAACTCCCTGTTTTTTTTTTTTTTTTTGGTCCCAGTCAGTGCATTATCCAAGGCTTGATGCTTGTTGAAACGCATCCTTGCCAAAATTTTGAAAGTGAAATGCTAAATATCTCCAAAACCGAAGGCATTAGGGAAAATTTCTAATTTTCTAAAAATGGGAATTTTCTGCAAAAAAAAAAAAAAAAATATATATATATTTATGCCAATTTTCAAAATTTTACTTGAATAACTAAGATTGAGATTGAATGAAAAACAAACTTTATTTCAATTTCCCTATTTTTATTAGTACCACCAGCATATGCTGGCTCCGTAGTCTGGTGCCAGAAACAAGTCACCATTACTGCTTCTCCTCCTAGACCACAAGGGCTTGTATCCCCATCTCTTGGATTTATGTCACATATGTACAATATAATCTCATCTTAAACTCCCTGTTTTTTTTTTGTTTTTTTTTGGTCCCAGTCAGTGCATTGTCCAAGGCTTGATGCTTGTTGAAATGCATCCTTGCCAAAACTTTTGAAAGTGAAATGCTAAATATCTCCAAAACCAAAGGCATTAGGGAAAATGTCAAATTTTCTAAAAATGGGAATTTTCTGCAAAAAAAAAAAAAATATATATATATATTTATGCCAATTTTCAGAAACTACGCTGGCCTAAGCTCTCATTTTAATGTGAGGGGTTACAATTAAGGACTGATTTTATCTTCGGGAGTTTGGGGTCAATCAATACATTTTCATGGGAAAAGCATTCATTTGATTCCGGAACTGAAAACTCTATACTTTCTGTTTGTTGCAATTTTTTTTCCGTACAGTTTAGAAATTGCACTATATCAAGAAAAATAACATTGCAATATTCAGTGATGAAAATAAAATGTGAAATACTCCAAAATTAGCAGATATAAGCCCATAGTTACAATTGAACTTGAATGTGAAGTCATGTACTGGCAATCTAACTGAAACCTTGAAATTGATGTTTGACTTACTTTTCACCATGAACATTGCAAATTTTTAGGCCCTTATATCTCCAAAACTGGCAGAGGTATGCCCATAGTTATTATTGAACTTGAATAGGAAGTCACGTGATGGTATGGCAATCTGTGACCATGATATTGACCTTTGACCTACTTTTCATGATGAACTGCACTTTGCAAATATTCTGGCCCTTATATCTCCAAAACTGGCAGAGATACACTCATAGTTACTATTGAGTTTGAATGATAAGTCATATATATACAAATATATAATCTTACTGTGACATTGAATTTGAACCTAATTTTACCATGAAACGCACCTGGCACATTTTCAGACTCCCAAATTTTCTATTGAACTTGGATGGGAAGTCTTATGTTCACAATTTTACTGTAACCTTGGATTTAACCTTTTAGTTTTCCCCACGGTTTTGTTATAAATTGTTATATTCTACAAAAAAATTGAGAACTTTTATTTATTGCATTTTGTAGAGCTTGTCAAGCACAATACTGGAGATGGTGTCCCTTTTTTTTTTTTTTTTTTTTTTTTTTTTTTTATATTAATGCGCTTACTCTCTGATCCTCTAGTTGAATCAAGTTTTTTAATGGTCAGACACTTTAATGTCTGGGCACTAAGCCATCACCAATATCTGTTGTTACTTTGCTATTTGACCCATGTATCAATTTTACTAGGAATCATTATTTGATAAAAGGACTGGTTCTTTAGGGTAAATTGCCATTAACCCAGGAAAATGTTTTAAGTAAGAGTTTCTTTTTTAATTATTATTATCATTATTTATTTTATTTTGCACTAAGCACCTTTAATGAATTTTTTATGTGCAGACACAGAATGCATGTCTTCACCTCCGGCTTTGCTGTGCACTTTCAGTGATAACACAATAACTGGAAAACCGTTTTACCTTTGTGTTCAAATATGGGAATAATTAATATTCATAAATAATGGTTGAGTCAACATGACAGGGCCATTTTTTCAAAACTTTTTTCAGCATATATGCAATAATGATAGCACATTTCAAGGAAAATTGATAGGCCTTTTGTCTTGAAACCCAAAGGAGTGATCAACTTTTCTGAAAATCAGCTCAAAACAAAACATTTTTTCGCTTTTCAGCATATTTTATTTACCTTTATATAGCAGGCATGAGATTTTTCCGTCTTTTGGCGGAATTCCGACTTTTTTCTTCAAAAATGTCATTTTTTATATCATTGCAAATCCGTTGAGAAAATTTC